GTTGGCAATCGGGCAGAAAAGCGGCCTTCAAGCACTGCAAACAGCGCGCGAAGGACGCAACCCAAAGATGTCAGTATGCAACGTGGCAAAAACAAATAAACAAAATACGAAAGACCTGTTGCTTTCAGAAACAGAGGATGACTTCGCCACATAGCCAGGCAAGATGGCGGACCTATGCGCTACTCTGCACTCTAAAAAGTTGGCGAGTGAAATGGGTGTCTTTTTGTCTTACAACAATAATAGTCATTAGGCTTGCTTGCGCTTCCTTTCTTGAAAACTCGGCGCTGGCCACTTTCCTATCGAGAATGCAATGTAACCCTGATAAGGGGCATGTCCATCGTGACCGGAATGTATCGGGCTCGGGGCGATAGCGCAAGGATGGAGCGCAATATAGATGACGATTATTGTGGGCCAAAAAGACACCCTTTTTACTCGCTCTTTTTTTAGAGTGTGGTCCTGTAAGAAGCACATAGAGTTTCTTTAACTTTGATTGTTGCTTCACGCCATCTCGTGGAGAGGCAAGAAGTTGTAATTGTCGACGCAACACACAAATAAGGGCATGAGACAAGGAGAGCTTTTCCAAGGACGAGTAGTGGTTTGGTGTGTGGAGGCTAAGTGAACAATCAGCATGAGGAACAGAGATAACGAAGACGATCGCTTACTGGTTATTTAACAATGATTGTTTGGTACAAATGTTTTCTATGATAACGAGGCAAAATAAAAAAGAAACAAACTGGAGTTGCTCAACGCTAAATACAAAAATGCTCCATTGGTGGCGGCGTCTTCGAGGGTCATTCTTCACGTCGTGATTGCTGCTTTCACATACATGAGGGCACTGTGTGCTAGAAAAATCACCTGAGCTTCGCTGAACATGGACGGGCATCCTCATGCACGCTAAATGCATGACAACCACTAAACTTTACTTTCTAACACTTGGAATGCATTTTAGGTGATCATTCAGACATTTTACACTCATACACACGCAGAAACCACCCCACTTCAACTGAGCCACACATCCGACACCCCGTACACAACACATAAGTTCTTCGCAGTGCTTTACGCCAACATCGTGTTTCTGCTTTTTCGTAGATGACGATGCCCAGTCGTCCAACGTTGCGATCCAGCTTAGCAGCGATCTTAATCGACTACACCAGCTCACTTCTTAGCTTCATGTTAGTAATTAGGGTTCAAAATGCACGAGAATTCCCATGGACTTCGTTCTCTGCCACGACTGTCGTAGTGTTGTTGGTCTCAGTCATCTTGTCTGTTTTAGTCTCAGCTGTTCTAGATCTCGCAAGAGCCACCTATAAAATACGCAACGGTCATAGTGCGCCCAACGTAAGTGCCACGACATATTGCGCGCATCCTCTGCGTGCTAAAACGCGCTCATCTCTCTCATAGTTTCAGCGCATGCACACCATTGCTCCCCCTCGAGCCTCGCCTACGCTAGGCCATTGCGCGCGCTAAAATAAAACTATCCATTAGTGCCAACAGAACCCAAAGCTGCGTTGTGCTTGAGTCAAACTGTTCCTGGGCACTCTCGGGAGCGTTCGCGTTAAGCGCGAGACAGACGTGCGATTTTTCGTGCCATGCGGCGTGCGGCGTCGCATGGTGCGGCGTGCCACATGCGACGTTTCGGGACACACGAGGGCGAAGGAGCTATCAGCGGCAGGCTCCACCCCCATGCGGCGCCTCGGCATGCAAGGTCCTCGTAATGAGGCTCAAAACTTGGTATCCTCGTAATGAGACTCAAAACAAACAACATTGCACAGCAACGCTTCGTTCTATAAAATAATTAATAAATCGCATTTGTGAACGACAAGCACGTCGTAACCTCAGCAACAGCTGATTTCACGACTCCGACAGGTAGGCCTAGCATCGTGGGCGCCAGCCGTCGCCTACGCCGTTCACATGCGAGCTCATCATCGAGCGCTTGTTTTGACAACACTATCAGGCATTGCGCTCGTATGTAATGCGTTAGCATACATTATTACTTTATCGATGCCATCGATGTGAAGAGCAAATGTGGAAGCGAAGCGAGCTAGCGCAGATACGCCGGTAGCTGTGTTTACCTGCGTAATGACCTTGCATCGCTGCTCACTATCTCCGTTCTCGCTAGCGGTTTCAAAACGAGCGCTGTCGTACAGAAAAGGCACACTTCAAGCATCACTTTATTCAATGCGGAATAATACCACGTCACCAGGGAAATGTACTTGATGTTTGTCACGCGGCCGCAGTCAGCGATGCAAGCAAATCCACGCTCGCACCACTCCATCGACGGTAGATGGGAGCGGCGACAGGGAGATGGCGCCACTAGCATCGAGATGTCACTAGTATGGTCGCGCTGTGATTGGCTGCTGCTATGCGGCGGTGCGATGCTGCGACGAAAATATCTGGCTGGTTTGATGCTCGCCGCACCAGCTATGCGGCGGTACGACACAATGATACGTCAAAAAACGTCATCCCTCCGGCAGTCGCATCGTCGCACCGCACGCCGAATCGCAGAGAAAATCGCACGTCTGTCTCGCGCTTTAAGCAGGCGGACCACTGCATGTACGTGAATCCACATGCCATTTATGCCCTTCGTTTTACAACCCCTCACCCGCCGCTCTCATCGCCGTCCGCTTCCTTCGGTCAGCGTGCGCTGCGAACACTGAGCACCCACTAACGAAGCCGTACCAGTGCTGTTTTTGCGGTAGCTCTATATATACATCGTCGAAGTCATCTTTCCGCTTTTCGCGGGTACTTGTATGCTGTTCGCGTGGCACGTAATCTTCTGGCACGTGGCATGCAAAATCAAAGAGCACGATATTTAATGAAGCTAACTGAATGAAGACAAACATATAACGTTCGAGGTGACCTGAACGACAGCATGCAATCCGCATGATCGATTACGACCACGCGACATTATAAAGAATAAAAAAAATCATTACTCGGCATGTTCTCTTCGTATAAAGTCGAAACGTGCCATTAGTTTTTTTTTTCGTTTGTTTTGAGGTGCACGGTGCCCCACTCATGCACGTCTATGCGGTATGTATTTCAAGAAACGTATAAAACACGTTATTGAGGAAGGTGTAGAGGCACCCCTGGCTTAAGAAACGAGTCTAGACATGCAGCACGGCGTTGCACAGGTCCTCCAGAAATTACGCGGGTTCGATCCATGATGCCCCCAGGCCGTATCGGCCGGGCAAGTTTCAACAAGTGCTGAGCTCGGACTGGGTGCGGCACAAGGACCCCCGCCCATGCATTGCTCTGCCCCACGCGAGTTTGCACCGCAAATCAAGCTTTGGTTTACATAACCAAACGCCATACACGCTGTGTCTCTTGTAACAAATTTCCTTGGCCACTGGAATGAAGGACGTTACCTCTAAGCAAAACTAGCACTATGGTAGCCGTGTTTACCGTAAGGTAATATACCTTAGGGTAAAAATGAACTTACGTGCTCTCATGATTTTGAATAATGTAATTATTCACACATGAAGATCCCATTTCCGTGTTTTGTGTTCAAAAAAATTCGGCAGATCCCACGTAATGGGAATCAACTTTATGCGAAGCACGCGGAGGGAAGGTAACCGTGTTGCCTTCTCTTTTGAGCCTCACGTCAAGAAATGACGCTGAATATATGTACAAATGTTGCACGCAGGGACATATGTTGAAGAGTTGCAGATGTTTATATAACCAGTTTTCCTCTTGCACAATAATGTCAGCTGGAAATATGTTTAAGCAACATCAAATGCTGATATGAAGCGCTGATTTTCGCGAAGATGCTGGCCCTTGACACTGCTACTTAAACCAATTTCAGCGCATGGCACCTCACCACAATCCACGTTATCCCGACGTGACGGCTGTATGAAAGGAGTACATATGTAATGTTTATAAAATCGGGTAGACAGCACTGCAACCACTATTAATGTTTGAGGAAGATTGGGGTCTATTTGAAAAGTAGTTCCGAGACTTGGCGTAGCTCTGTGCTAGAATGCTTGACTGCCACGCAGAATGCTTGGGTTCGATTCCTGCTGAGACCATGAAATTTATTATTTGCATTTGTCCGGCGGCCACTGTTGTATATGCCAGGTTTCTTTTAACACTGACATTAACAGTGACTTTGGGTCGACGCTACCAATGTCGGGCATTGCATAACGCTCCCGCGTTACAATTGCCCATGTGTGTTCTCGTGGTTCCAGGGTAGATACTAAGTGTCAATCATCTGTGGCACATACCCGCTTACCAGTGGCACATAACTGCCCATGAGTATGTGCCACTGTCTGACGGGAAGTGTTTGACGACGTACGCGACGGGATCGTGACATTATTCATGTCTTGACCAGCGCGTCATATTAGTCAAACTATCTTACCCTCCCATGCTAATTTTGGTTCACACAAAGTTAAGGGGGTGACCACCGGAGCACCCAAACGTAAGCGGCTAGATAGATAGATAGATAGATAGATAGATACGCTCAAAGTCGCCGAAGTTCACTGAGAAATGCTTTGCATTTAAAACATGTAAGGTGTGGCAAGCACTAGTTTTTCGTTTATGTTTTTCTTATTCCGTCATTTAATTCGCGAATTACGGTTTCCAAACAATATGAACATGGTGCATGCTATACTGTTGGGCTTCCGGTGATTTTTATTACCTTAAGTTTTATTGTCACGAAGTTTTATGTTACGTTGGCTTCTACCACGCCGCCTTACTCAAAATATGAGGGGCATGGCCATTATCGCACTCGTACATTCAAGTTGAGTAGCCGACCTCCGTAACCACTTCGGCACTACGGCAACCAAATATTTCGGCTTTTCGCTATTAGTTCGTAGTGCATAGCACTTCAGGGCATTATACAGTGGATTCTACATCTGGAGAATAAAACGACCGGGCAAATTTCAGAGCGAAATAAGCCTTCGAAGACGCAGAAATGTAAAACTGACATGTAGGTGCTGCAATTACTATTCGTCTGGCGGCTGGTTTTTATGAAGAGCAGAACAGTATGTAAAAGTTCGTTCGAGAATGGTTGCAGAAAAGATTTATTTGTTTCGTGGCTGGTTTATGTCGTAAAATATTGGCGTATTCATAATGTTCAGCATATGTGATGAACATCATTAGGTGGATGACCTCGGTTGGTGCACCAGTCGGTTCCTGATGGTTTCATGGTGGGGCTCGCACCTGGTTGGGGGGTGATATTAGATAACCCATCTGTCTTCTGAACTTGAAACAGTTTGATCCAGTTCTGGCAACGAACAAAAAAGAGAATAGGTAGTTATACATACCAATTTTCATCTCGATAATCCCACTAGTGTGTTAAAGCTGCTGTAGTTTAAAATGAAGAAAAAGTGTTTAGATACCGTGATTTGCACCGACTGCTGTGAGCAGCTGCGGTGAATACACCTTTGGTGATTATACCTGCAGTGACCACAGTTATTCTTTTTAAACACTAAGTGAAAATTAAGATGCAATTGCGAACGACTTATTGGTGTGAGCTGCATACATGATGTAGAACAAGATAACTCTTAAGGAGTGTGTAAGACAGAAAGGACACAATGTCCGAGAATGAAAGGTTTAGTAAAATGCTATGTGGTGCACTTCCTATAGAGCTGGCAGAATGCGAAAGGAGGTTCGAAAGCCGAGAAAAAAAGAATGGAAAGAAAAAAAACGATGAAGGAGCAATGCGCTGCCACACGTAGGACTGCACGGCTCCACAGAGGCACTATGCGCACATCTATCGTTTGATAGAAGTGCAAGAAAACCGATATTTCCCAACATGTAGCAGCCACTGGACAATCAGCCTCTTTCATGGCATGTGCCGCTAAACACCTTTTACGTCCATTCATCAGAGAGAGAGAGAGAGAGAGCATAGGGAGAAAGGCAAGGAGGTACGTTAACCAAGGCTACCCTGGTAGGCTACCGTGCACTGGGGTAGGAGAGAGGGGAAAGAAAGTTACAGAGGAGGAGAGAAAAGTTGACTGACCGGGCCGACGCGTAACAGTTTCACATCACAAACGATGAAACAGGCCGGTGTCTTTGAGAAAACGCAACAGCGCTTTCGTTGCATTTCAGAATTGGTATGGGTAGTGCCATGGTCCCAATACTTTATCGACAGTGAAATCACTTCTGTCCAGTTGATTTGAGAAAACGCAACAGCGCTTTCATTGCATTTCAGAATTGGTATGGGTAGTGCCATGGCCCCAATACTTTATCGACAGTGAAATCACTTCTGTCCAGTTGATTTGAGAAAACGCAACAGCGCTTTCGTTGCATTTCAGAATTGATATGGGTAGTGCCATGGTCCCAATACTTTATCGACAGTGAAATCACTTCTCTCTAGTTGATTTAAAACACTGCGCAGGTGAAGCTTCTCGTTTCTGTATGCTGGGAAGTAACATAACTGGTAGTCCATTGTCTCATTGACAGCGCAGTCGTTGCACTCCGCACTGTCGGCCATTCCAATCTTAAATGAGTAGGCATTGGTGAAGGCTACGTCCAGGCGCAGACGGCACAACACCATACTTTCCTCCCTAGAAAGACCAGAGGGTAGCCACAATGTTGAGATGGGTCGAGAAAATACAGTTGATGATGTGCGAACTGTGATGACTGCCACTTCTGGAGGGTCATGTTCTGCGCCAACATACTTGAGTATTTAGCCGAGTGAATCCTAGATTAAAGTACGGAATCAAGGTTTTTTTTGTACGTGTGCATTCCTGGCTGCTTCATCCGTGAGGTCGTTGTTGGACACACCGCAATGACTTAATACCCCCTGAACCACAACGTTGTGTCCTTGTTCGGTCGCATAACGCAGAATTCTTCTGATGTCCCACACGAGTTGTTAATACGACCCGCGACGAAGTGCCAACGAAAGACAATGTAGAGCCGCCTTGTAATCGCAGAATATTGCCTACTGCCCGTCGATTATCCGGTTGTTGCTTGATATAATCAATGGCACCTCGCAGGGCAACAATTTTCGAATTAGTCGACGTGCTCACTTGACAAAGTTTGTACGTGATGTTGATGTGTCGCGATGGGATGACGGTGGCACCGGTGGAGCTAGTCTTGGTGGTAGATCCATTCGTGTGTACGTGGATTCTGTCAGCGTAGGAGGTGTGTAAGCAGTCTACAGTTACTTTCTTCAAGGTGAAGGTAGAAGGGACGTTTCTGTTTCTCATTCCTGGGACGGAGAGGCGCACGTCGGGTTGTCGTAGGCTCCAGAAGGCGAATGGTGACCGTGCCAAGGCTATAAAACCGGGTGAGAGCAAAGCCCGGCGGGAGCTGGCGACCTTAGAGAATGACGCCTGCGGTCGTTACTCTGGCAGAAACGCCAAATGGCTCATTACCATCCGTGAAATGGGCCCAATATGTGCTCTCACCACGTCGGCTGTGACGTATACTATAGGTCGTAACCAGATAATCTCGAGCCAATATAGCTGTTCCAGCGGTAGAGGTAGTTCGTGGTAGGCCGAGACGAACACGTAGTGCCTTTGCTTGCGCGCTCTGAAGTGCTCAAATGTTTAAATTGCAAGTTTTTGTAGCGTAATACACCATTAAAAAGTGCTTGGTTTAGCTGTAGCATAGAACTCAATAACGGACCTCACCTTCACCCATCAGGATTTCAAGATAGGCCTGCAGATGATCAGTGACCCATAGAAGAATTATGGAACAAGGTACAGTATAAGCAGTCTCCGCACGATGTTCAAGACGCACCATGTTTTTTTTTTAATTTTCGCATACTTCCTGTGTCGCCAATAAACATAGCGGTACAGATAACTGACAGTTATTTCACCATTCTCATGTCAGTACACTAAGCACAAAAGCTGAATCCTCATATGGAACACTGCATGTAGCCCAAATAATACCACTCTGTGAAAGCGGTCGCCTTAAGCAATAGATGTGTAAACATCAATAAATAATACTTAATTCCTTATTTAAATGTGTTGAACCCCAGGGAGTTACTGCTGCGGCCACAAATCTTCTAAATGCTGGTGTGATTTACAGACCCAGTGCCAATGCCAGCATTGCGAGCCTGTGTTGTGGAACGTACTTGGGGTGTTGCGGACGGAAAATCGGCAGCTTTTATAAGCGCCGATAAGAAATGAATAGCTCGAGCTTGGTGTTTACATCGCTTGATGATGCTGTTCTATATCGAGGAACGTCTGTGTGCGTTAGTAACCGTTCTTTTACCAGTGAAACACGAGAGATTTACATTTGGTCGCCAAGCGAGCCGATTAAGAAAAATGTAGAAAATGTGTGTGTAGATACTGGTTGCTTGCTTTTGCAATGAAATGCATTTTGGACCACCCGGAGCCTGTAGTTACTGGTTAGAACGCAAAAAGAATATTTCTGCGATTCGCAAGGGAGTACGTGTGTAGATTTTATACTTTTTGTCAGTTTTATTTAGTTTAATTTTTCTCGTACCTGTATACAAAACTATACACTAACGGCCAAAAACAGACGTTGTCGTACCAATAAACCTGGTTTTTACCAGGTTTTAGGCCCGATTCAGATGTTTCTGCCCTGCGTACACTTTATTTTAGAAAGTGAAGCTACCTCCTAAACAAGTAGCGGCCCACTGTTTACTAATTTTACATAGATAGCAGGACCTCACTTTAATCGCGAGTCACACACTGCCACGGTACGAGACGTGACTGCTGGGGACTTTCCATCACCCGATCTGTGTTTCAACGAGTACGTACCTTCTATTTCGACCAGAGTTGACGCTTCAAGCGCTGGCTGTTGACGCAGGCTTGCTTCGCCGATCTCCTTTATCTGACTGATGGTAAGCTGCCGAGTTTCTTGCATGGACAGAGTCACGTCGTATTCACGCTCCAGCAGTTGCTTCACCTCGATGCCCATCATAGAGTCGATGCCCAACTCACCGAGGCTGACGGACGAGTTCAGTTTGGACGGATCTTTGACGCCTGCGTGAGATATGACCAGGAATGCATCACGGTAGTCATAAACTACGCATGCTGCATTCAATTGATGAATGTACGTGTACTTGTTTTTTTTTGCTTCAGACATCTTTTTGGCCTTATCGCAACATAAGTGGCGTGACTGGGGGGGGGGGGGGTCACACTGTGCTTGTGCTCCCCACGTCAGAATTTTTTCGACATGGCATAGAAAACCTAAACTGAGCACTCAGCCATATTTGCCTTCTGTCTGCCCCTTGAAGCAGAGGACGTGCCTCTCGCACCCCGCAAAAAAAAAAAAAAAACATCATTACCTACACCCGTCCTCCACCTGTTCGCAGATTGTGGGAACTCATGTGTTTGCGCCCTCACTATGATGATGATGAACAAACTTTATTTAATTAGCAGAAAGGACCCTCACTATGATAATAATTTTGAGGTGATTTCAGGCAGTGATTACCTGTAAATGTTCCATAATTGCCTATATTCAACGAGTCATTAGCTGCGATCTCCGAGGCTTGCAGCATGCCAGCCGCATGAAATTCACTTGCCCTGTCATCATCATCATCATCAGCCTGACTACGTCCACTGCAGGACAAAGGCCTCTCCCATGTTCCGCCAGTTAACCCGGTCCTGTGCTTGCTGCTGCCAATTTATACCCGCAAACTTCTTAATCTCATCTGCCCACCTAACCTTCTGTCTCCCCCTAACCCGCTTCCCTTCTCTGGGAATCCAGTTAGTTACCCTTAATGACCAGCGGTTATCCTGTCTACGCGCTACATGCCCGGCCCATGTCCATTTCCTCTTCTTTATTTCAACTATGATATCCTTAACCCCCGTTTCTCCCCTAATCCACTCTGCTCTCTTCTTGTGTCTTAAGGTTACACCTACCATTTTTCTTTCCATTGCTCGCTGCGTCGTCCTCAATTTAAGCTGAACCCTCTGTGTAAGTCTCCAGGTTTCTGCTCCGTAGCTAAGTACCGGCAAGATACAGCTGTTATATACCTTCCTCTTGAGGGATAGTGGCAATCTACCTGTCATAATTTGAGAGTGCTTGCCAAATGTGCTCCACCCCATTCTTATTCTTCTAGTTACTTCAATCTCGTGGTTAGGCTCTGCGGTTATTACCTGCCCTAAGTAGACATAGTCTTTTACAACTTCAAGTGCACTATTACCTATCTCGAAGCGCTGCTCCTCTCCGAGGTTGTTGTACATTACTTTCGTTTTCTGCAGATTAATTTTAAGACCCACCTTTCTGCTCTCCTTGTCTAACTCTGTAATCATGAGTTGCCATTCGTCCCCTGAGTTACTCAGCAATGCAATGTCATCGGCGAAGCGCAAGTTACTAAGGTGTTCTCCATTAACTCTTATCCCTAACTGTTCCCATTCTAGGCTTCTGAAAACCTCCTGTAAGCACGCGGTAAATAGCATTGGGGAGATTGTGTCCCCCTGCCTTACACCCTTCTTGATGCCCTGTAGCGTCCTGTAAACAGCACTATCGATAACTTCTTCAAATGGCGCATGTCCACATAGATGTACTGATGACGGTAATCTAAAAATCATATCCCTCTGCATATGAAACGCCAATTGCTTCTGAGTGACACAGGTAAAATAGTTGCTCTAAGTGAACAGACGAATAGGTAACACTAGATCTTTTAGTCTACCTTGTGGGACACTGCAAAGTATAGCGCCCCATATGGTAGTGCCGGAGATGGAGTCTTAGATACCGCGGTAACCAATTGCAGCCGCATACCTTCTAAAATTAGATAGAAACCGCGCAGCATGCCGTCATGGTTTGGCGGACAATAAGTTCAGACCTACCACGCACCATGCTAGGGGACAAGCATATTTTCAATATTGAGAAGCTGCCAGGGAGTGCGGTGGTTTGGAACCTCCGTGGTTCGGACCAAAGATGCTGTTGTCTGGCCGGTGCGCCATGGCATTGACAATTACACCTGTGCACTGTGGGTGTGCCGCCTTATTGCGACATTATATATACCGCACGTGCACGTCTTGGGCCCTTATTGGCTGCGGTCAAAGTGGCAAACATTTCGGCGAGTATAAAAAATCACTTCGGGAGTCATCCAGGCAAGCCTCCACACGTAATACTCTGTTGTGAATCGTCGGCGATATCCATCACGGCTCCGCCTCTCCACTTGCGCGCTTCGCGTTCCGCCAAACCGTGCTTGAACGTAGGTCCCCACCTCCTCTGGTGCTGGTAGTTTGGAGTGCAAAAGGTAAACATATAATATTGGCTCTCACGGGTTTGGTAAATTTAGACGCTACAATAATAAGATTGACAGAAATGAAAAAAAAACTTGCGCTACCTCCTACTAAAGAAACCATGAGTGTCATGTGAAGCAGCGAATGGCTCGACTTAAACTACCGCCTACAACGAATTGCGACCACCTGGGGTTTTTTATAGTGCACCCAAATCTGAGCACATGGGCCTACAGCATTTCCGCCTCCATCGGAAATGCAGCTGCTGCAGCTGGGATTCGATCCCACGGCCTGCAAGACAGCAGCCGAGTCCATAGCCACTAGACCACTGCCGCTGGGCACTATCCTCAACAGCGGCAGAACGTGTTGCACTATGGAAAGCCATCATATTTTTGTACTGCTGGACACCTCGTAAACGGTTCATACTGTCAGATTCAAATTTAGCATTGCGCCATTGACACTTGCTAAAAAAGCGCTCAACATTTTACCTTATCTTCAAAAATCATTAAACAATTCCCTCAAGCAGTAAAATTGTGACATGATGCCATTGCAATGGATCTCTGGACACTGAAATGGCAGCCAAAAGCTTGCTGACCCTGAAGCCATAGTCAAAGTACGTAACGCCCCAGTGACGTGAAAGTGCCGTTTTCTAGAAGTGGCGTTAATCCTTTATTGATATCGCGCATCGCGCAGTGCTCAGCAACCTATTGGTCGCAGCCAGACCATAGATACAGGTGCGTGCGAGAAACAGTCCTTGAGGTAACTTTTCGCCGCTAGGCTTGGATTAAACGAGGCAACTTCAGCCTGCTACACCACATTCACCTGGGCGTTGCATTCACTCGCCGCTACGTACACTTTATCCGCCATGCACACAGCCCGAACTGTGAATGTTACCAAGTGAGTAAAATAACAGCGCATATATTTCGTAACTGCCTACTTCAGATGTCGCAACAAAGCTCGCTGGAGTCGCTGTGACTACGCCAAGTGAAAGTGGCCTTTGAAAAGCAATGTGTGATCAAACAAGATCAAAAGTTGTACTAGGTCTGTGACAGAGTTCATAAAACACTAGACTGTAGCGAAGTCACAGTGCTGCAACGTTATTTACATGAGATTAACTTGTTTTTCTTCCGATTTTCACTCCTCGTCATTTTTTTCTCCTTTCCTCCTTATTCTGTGAAATGTAGCAGACTATAGAGCAAACCATCTCAGACCAACCTCTCTACCTTTTGAAATAAGCTATCTTTATCTCTCTTTTTCTATACAGTCACCAACTACCTGAGCAGAAGGTCAAGCAAACTCACCAAGTATGCGAGCCACGCTCTCAACAAGATTTCGCTTCTCGCCGCCGTCTTGAGTTGATGACATGGTACTCTTCACGAAGCAGGAAACGGTGGGCTGTTTTTGACTGAGGAAGTAGTCCATAACAGCCAAGCAGGAATTTATCGGCTGTGGCATAACTCCGAAAAATTGCGTTTCCGAGCGCATACTTTCATAGAACGCGCCAACTTCTCCAAAAGGGCCCCACTGAATGGCCAAGCCTAAACACACAAAAATATTGTATTAACATAATTTGCGAAAAAAACTTGTAAATCTCGATATCAATTCAATATTCATGATGAAGAGTTTTTTTCGTTACACATTGACAAGAACTTTCAGGGTATTCAGCTCAATGAAAGCAATTGCTCTGCATAAGAAAAATTGTGGTTCTGCAGTATCCGAATTTGTAGCGACATATTGAGAAATATATGTCGAGGTGGTTTTTGACAAAATCATTATTACATAGGCTTACGTACGACACTATGTATTGAGTGATAACCCGAAAATTTCTCACAATAACTTTAAAAACTCAGTTGAACCTCGGCGCTCGTCCACGTCAGCTGCCTTTCCCTGCATTCGGGTTTTTTTTTTTCCACGCTGTGGAAATTTTTCTTCGTGATGAACTACCGACTAGGCCAAACGCTCACGTTAATCTGTGAATGCTAGCAAGCGGCCGCGACTGATATTAGACACTACAAAAGAGAATCTAAGGTAGCAGGACAGTCATACTAGACTATACCACCGTTAAAGTTCTACCACGTTTCTTGAACATGAAATATAGCGTGTTGCACAAGGTGCGCAGAAAAAGCATTTTGAGAGATGTAGTTTCTGTGTTTGTTACCCTGAAATACCAAATTCAATGACCACATTTTGCAAGTTTATACAAATACTTACTCGTTTCTAAAAGAAGGAAGGGAGGATGTATAAAGGCGAAAACAAAAACATAGTCAAAACTTTATGGGGAAATGGTGCGACAAGGAAGGCATGCTTTAACAAAGTAAATTGAGGAAGTTAAAGTTCGAAGCGCTGTTTTTGCGTACTGTAAGCACTCTTGGTACTCTCTGCATATCTATCTATCTATCTATCTATCTATCTATCTATCTATCTATCTATCTATCTATCTATCTATCTATCTATCTATCTATCTATCTATCTATCTATCTATCTATCTATCTATCTATCTATCTATCTATCTATCTATCTATCTATCTATCTATCTATCTATCTATCTATCTATCTATCTATCTATCTATCTATCTATCTATCTATCTATCTATCTATCTATCTATCTATCTATCTATCTATCTATCTATCTATCTATCTATCTATCTATCTATCTATCTATCTATCTATCTATCTATCTATCTATCTATCTATCTATCCGCAATTGACTTTTAGCTTTTCTAGCCGTGTCGATAATAGTATCGATACCAAAGTTAATATGGCACAACCTAACTGTGTAGCGAACAGAACACACTAGTCATAATAAGAAACTTATAACCTGCACGTTAAGAATGTCATGATTCACTTTTCATAGTCTTGCATGCTGTTGCGGCGGTTTCGTTCAGATGACATTTTGAAAAACTGGTGTGGTATGACATGACTGCTTGACGAGCATAGGTAACAGACACTAACGTGGAATACATCATATGCATGTCATGATTTTCATGGTATGAGTAGTCATGACTACAGACCACGCTCATGGTGCGCTCACGATCGTTCACTAGCTTCACATATACCAAACTTGGATTTATGGATCCTGAAAGTACATGACTGGTATAATCATGATAATACTGACATAAGTGACTTCTAAGAACACGACAACCAACAACGCTCATGATCCGCTCACGGCCTTTTCGCTAGCTTCAAGTATGCCAAACTTGGTATTACGTAATGTGAATGGCCGACGGAGGTAAATGACACATATAAATATGATAATTCTGACATGCGTGTCATACAAAACATGACTTCATACTATGCTCATAGCGTTCGCGTAGCCGTTTCCATATCTGCACGTATACCAAATGTGGTATCGTATGACATGAATAGACGATGAATGTAAATGAAACGTCCAAACATCATGATCATGACATACATGTGGTGGAATACATCCCTACACGCTGCGCTCATTGCCTGCTCACGGCCGTTTTGCTAGCTCCAAAAATACCGAATTTAAAATTGCGTGGTGTGAATACACGACGAAGGTAAATGACACGTCCAAGCATAATGATCATGACATGCAAGTCCTCTTTGGCGTGATTTACGTGCGCCTCGTAACGTTGCGCAGAATAAATTTAACGTGATACATCATTCTTTCTTTTTTCCGCTTTGCAAGTTAACAATTTCCACAGGATGTTGGATCTGCCATTTATACAAATCCTTTTGTTATATACTATTTCGTTAAAGTTGTTTAATTCAGCATCAGCATCACATATACACTATGAAAAAGTTCTTGCAAAATTTCTGGTGATTTTTAGTACATTCACAGAGCACTGTCATAAAGTTCCTTATTAAAGTATGAGCGTACAGTTATAATCAATTAAAATACATTTTGCTGCCTACAGAGAAACTACTACATGTAAATTTCACACCATTTGTAAGTTCGTCTCTAAATGACGAAAGGATTCGTAACGAGAGCTGTGTGCTCAAGACAACATTTTCTTAAGTGCACTTGTCTCCTTCAAGGGTAGGACTGACTTCCTAACCTATACAGCGTGGTGCTTTAAGGAAATACTTTTCTAACAAACTAAATCATATGAAACATATGAAATGGTTCGTTCATTATATCTGTTCCATTATTAAAATAAAATACTTTTCTGTTTTTCTTAACCTCCACATTTCCCGATACGTTCTTGCTGGTACGTTGTCACAATATTGAGGTTTGCTTTGAACCGCAGCGTACTTGGCCACAGCCTACAGTAGGACGCTTAGCAGCTGCTCAAGTGAATGCAACGCTTTTTTAGTAGTTATGTTGCGTAGAATTAGAGCGCCAGCCTAACGATAGAAGTATTCATGGCACCACTTGCGTACTGCACTGGTTCTTCCTATCTTAAAGGTGGGAAAATTTGAAGCAACCACTTAAGTGAGGTATGCAAATAATGATGATGATATGTAATCCGTTCGCCCGGGCAAGCGTTTACATGTAGTGCAACGCATACATTTGGAACAGGAGCAGATTATCTCACCGGGAAGCCCATCGGCGACCCTTCGCTCACACAGGCGCTCCGCGACGGAGTTGGCGAAGCCGTAGCTTGTCTGACCGACTTGACCACGGCCACAAGAGAAAGAGGAGAAGACAACGAAGTGGTCGAGCTCGGGACACTGCTGCCGCGACACCTCGTCGAGGCTCTGAGTGGCCAGCACTTTTGGCTTACACACCTTCGCGTACATCTCTGCCGTCTGGTTCTCAATCAAGGCATCACGCAGAACCTGTCATTATCACATACACATAAAGAAAAATACCTTTTGTTACACTCCTCATTGCCGTTTCAGCTCTACTTGTCTTTTCATGGTGCGGGATTTAAAGCAAGTTATGCAGTTGTGGCGAACAGAAGTTTATTCTGGTCGTGTATACTCACTTCACGAGACCTACCCCTATAATATTGAAGCTAGGAAAGTCTCTCTGTATGCGAGTTGAAATTGAGAATAATTTCAGGCGGCTAGATCTTTTTGTTGCCTTTTGTCATGCGCACGTGCTCCTATTACGTTCTGAATTAATTAATATAATTGAATAAAGAATACTTGAAGTTCTGGTCAAACTACATCTGTACAGACCATCCTGTTTTATAAAGAAAGCAAGGCAAAACAGTTATAATAGCACCTATTTTAGAATTTCTTTCACGTAGCTCTTTCATTGGCCCTATAGCTGCTCTATGTGCTAAATTCAATTGTATTCACCAATAGTTCACTGGTCAATTCACTCTAGATACCACCTTTTTGTAGAGTTGAGCATGAGACAAAACACCCTGAGTTAGAATTCCATTTTTGGAAAGTAAGATAGCCTTGTACATATAAAAATGGGTAATTAGGCAGAAGTTGAAATTGCTGGGGATTTCAGTGAGGACCTTGCTGTACATGAGTAACAGGTCAAGCTTATGGCCCTGATACAGGAGAGCCGCTTAGAGTGAATTTTCGTGACGATAGTACACTCTTTTTTGTATGTGATATTCTGGCTCTGGCAGCAGCATAGCGATAGAGGCAAGGTTTCAGAGCCCCAAGTACTTATATTTAGGTGCAACATAAGGACCTCACCTACACCTGTCGCCCACATTTATTCCGTGTGCTTTTACTTGCAGGTGCTGCAACGACGTAGTGATGACCACGAATGACCCTGCTAATCCATAAAATGTGCCAGGAATGCGGTATAACGTGACAACATGATCATATATTGAGTACAGCCGTGGCCACGTCTGTGTAGAGCACGCGAACAGCCGGTTTTTGCTATGCGGGGCGACACCTTGGGGCGGTATCAGGCTCTGACGTGGTTAGCCTGACAACTAGGCTGTGCATGCTTCTGATACACCACTTCAAAGCAAAAAAAACTGTCTCAAGCTTTCGGCCCACAGAGTAAAACCCAGCACCTCGAGTGCTCTACGCAGACGTGGCCACGGCTGTACGTCGACACAGGTCCCTTTCGCGAGACTTGTGTTTGCGAAAAATGGTATAAGGTGTGCACTAGTTCTCGGCAAAACATGACAGCCTCAAGAAAACTCTTGCCACCCGTCCGGCCTCTCGTAGTGGCCATGGAGAGGTTGTGAAGTGGACGCCCTCTTGAAGGCGGTGACCATGCGCAATAAATGGACGAACCCTTCTAAAATATTCTCGTTCAGTGATTGCAGATTTCTATTTAACTAAGGGTGGAAATAGTATATATTGAGCCACCAATCACTTTGATGACTAAAAAACCTGTCTGCTTACAAGACGTAAATTTAAGTTTTTCTCCACCAGTCTTTTTGGACCTCGGTTTTCTGCTGCTGACGTTCATAGGCCTACGGTTTGACACCTTCACTCCTGGTTGCTATCTGCTGGAAGCATGTTGCAACAAGCCAATTGCTGATACCCCTTTGTTTCGATAAATCTCTACGTACAGGTGTCCATTTATTCTTGGTAACATTTCGGCGCTCTTATGGGAGAATGGCAGGCTATGAGACAAACAAGTGCTCCTAGCTTTCCGTTCTCCTGTCCACTGTATGTGCAATGAAATGTTACCAAGAATGTCGTGAAACCAACTAGCCCATTTTTCATTTATTACATTATATTGTTTATTTATGTTGTGACGTTAATATTCATGCTGCGATTGTCCTTGCCACGTTTTGGTAGATCAAAGAAGTCACGCGTTAAGTACCTGCCGTTCAGTTTGCGATACAATTTTACATAGACTAATACCTTCAATTGACAGGAAAGTGTCTATTTATTAATTTGGGAAAATTAAAAAATTTACATGCAGGGAAACTTAAGCTTTTAAGTGCGCAGCGAAAATGGCATCAACAAATTGATATCTCTAATAATGAAGCAACGTGTAGCGAAAGTAAGAAAGAGGAAACTTTTCAAAAATTTTTAACTTTTTTCGTTGTTGCTCTTATTCAAAAGTTCTGATTCACAGGAAAGTCAGTGACATTAGCATGAATACATATCATAATTCTAAATACTCGTATTCACGTGATTGTTTGACTAGGACTTGGGAAACTGTATTTCAGGTAATGTATCTAAATTTTTTGAAACGCCAACAAACAATAAGAAAAATATGGCTACTGTAACAGTCGAACAATTATTCACATATAAACAGTTATCGTGAACTGACAATTGTTAGAGTGAAAAGATAAGAGCTCGAATGGCATAAAAATGCCCGAAGTAAACTCTTTCTTTTTTGTGGTACGCCCTGCTTAATTGCTATTAACCGAATACATCTCTCAACAATCGGTGAGGTTGTAATGACAAGACAACTTTCTCTTGAGGTTTACAAAGCTGTTAACCTTCATGAACACGGCATGATGGTGGATCGGTTTTAGCTGCGCACTCGAGCTTTAGGTTATATTGATATCTTACAAAAATGATCCAGGTGTATTAAGAGAAAACATTGGAAAATCAACAACATCGTTTATAAAAGATTTCCTAATCAGGCACACTTTATCTTACATCAAAGACTCAATTTTAGTAGCCACTTGTGGTGCCAAGCTTTTTTTGTAATATTGCGTTAGTTGAGTTATGGCTGACGCTCTTTTGTTGTCAGGGTGTCCATGTTATTTCAATTCATCATTTCGATCGCTCAGCAACTGTACCTACAGTTGTGAGTCATACGATCGTGCCTTATTATTTCACTACTTCTTTCAAGATATCTGCAAAAGCTTATTCCAGTTAATCATAAACGTTAAAATCGACGATCGCTCAGCAACTGTACCTGTAGTTGTGAGCCATACGATCGTTCATAATTATTTCACTTATTCTCTCATGATATCTGCAAAAGCTTCGGTGTGAATGGCACAGCTGACTTAGTCCAGTAAATTGTGGTTTAGCTATTTCGAATAAGGCTGAATATCTTACTTAGCATTAAAATTTGAGTCCATGAAATACGAACACAGTGTACATTACATGATTATAGCCCTGTTGCACATAACTTGTGGGCTCGTGACTTCAGGAACGCATTTGTTGCACAAAACGTTTTAAGGTAGTAAGACCTGAGAAAATGCTTTATTAGAGCTGCGATATCTCCGAGATTGAGAGGCCAGCAATGCTAGAGGTAATATGATGGGTCTCCCAACGGTAAAACAAAACTAATAAAGCTGACTGTGTGTTACTCATTTGTCTCACCATAGCCAAGTTGAAGATCCCGCCCATGGGACCAAAGCTTGATGCAGTCTCGATAATCTTGCGTGCGCCTTCTTTTGTCGACACATCATCAGTGCTGACAAGCACTGTGGCGCCCATATCAGTCCAGCGCTTAAGCGCAAGCCTCTGGTACCCCGTACGGATACCACTCCTAGAGATCAGAAGAAGCTTGCGGCATCCACGTGTCACCATCCATTGGGCAAGCTCAAGACCGATGCCACCCAGGCCACCGACGATGACGTATGACTTGTGCCGGTAGAAGTGGGGACGCGCCACTGCTTCAAGAATTAGCGGAGGGGCACGTGTCACACGCTCGTCCTCTTCCGGTCGTATCTGTAATTATCAATCATCAATATCATCTTACTTAAGCAGTTTGCAATAAAAAGAAAACGCCAGTCCTGCGCGGTAGGTGCAGCAAAGTCACAGTGATAGCTAAAAGAGCGGCCTTTCAGGGCTTTTTCAAAATACTAATTGGGAACTGCTGCGAGCACAGTTGCTTGGTACCCACTAGGACATTATTAATAAACTTTTAGGTTGTAGGCCGGCATTCACTATGCTATTTTTGTCATTATTCTGAGAAGCATGGTGACCGCTAAACACTTGCAAGGAATTTTGTGTCAATGGTCCATGCAGTGGCTGAGGACGATGGGAAATTGTGGCTGTAGTAGGTATGCGCCACATTTATTAGGGAAAGAATAACAAGCTTTTGTTATCGGTTGGAGCCCACTCGTTATGCTAATCGCGTTGCGCGACGACTGGTTGTTCTTTCGCTATTTGAAAACGCTTTACAAGTCGTATTACCGTGATTGCTTTCCCGACATCAAGCCTGCCTAAAGAAGTTTGACAACAAGCTACAAGCACCGGTGTAGCTTAGTAGTAGATTACTGGGATGGCTCCCAACGAAGCTGGGTTTCATCGCCACTTTGTTCTTGGTGCAACGTTTTCTTTCTAATTTCACCCGATGTGGTTACAGACTCCGGTGGTGGCGGCGGCGGACAACATGCATATGCGCGTAAAACAAAAAGTGATCTCATCACAGATTTCCCTGTAGAATTGAGGAAGCCTCATGCTTCGTCCTAAAGAGTTGAACGTGATAGCAATACCTTATCCTTAATGCATACATGAACAACATAGTGCATACTTTTTATTGTGGGACGTTACGTTTTAGTTGTGAAATACTACAACAAAATTGATAAAGTCAAAAGCAGCCTTGTGTACGTGAAACTTTCTCACAAGGCTGCTTCATGTGCAATGGGTAGTATGCATTAAATCACCAGCCATCACCCACGTAAAGTTTTTTTTTTTCGAATTTACTATGCACCCTCCAGATGTCCATAACGGAGCACATGCAGTAACGTGTGTGCCTCTCGTATTGGGTGGCTGGTGTTAAGATACGAAACTGTGATAATCTAGTGTCCGCACACTCAGTGGAAATGCTCACTTGTATCATGCAAATGTTATAGCAATATTACGTCTTGCACTGGGACGCTTGCATACATGACGCATTTGTTTTTAAGATATGAACATTATTTTTGCAGCATTTACAAGTAGAGAATGGTAAGATAGCTATATTCCCAAGGAGATTCATGACGGTGTAATAGAACGCCTGTTTTCCCCGCAGATGGCCTGTGTTCGATCCTCACTCAGAGCAGAAAATTGTTAATAATAATTTTGTTTTCATAATTTTTGGCTTTACGGTCACACCTAAATATGTAATTTTTCGCTCAAATTAAACAACGACGCCAACGCCAAAAAAGCTGCCGAAGCCAGAATTTCTCTGATACGAGTCTTTAACACTATTCTGTTAAGATTTAGGCCAACGGAACGTCGAAATTCCGTGAGGTAAAATTTGGCCCTGTATCTGCATGTTACACTGCAAATGTCGTCGAAAGACGATAATCTTGCGTGTGGACAGAATGAACAAAACATTTATTTGAGGTTCTGCGCAAGAAAATTGGTGAATGGTATTCTGGAGGCACTGCGTTAGAGGGCCTCGAGTGTGCAGTGGAGGCAAATGAGCGCATCGAGTCACGTCACGCGTCAGACATGAGCGTTATCTGGCAGTTATCTTGGAAAACGAAGCACACGGCGTGAGTGCCCATTTTGGAGGCCATAATGTCTAGAACGCAAAGCGACGGCTAGGTGCCGCCACAGTGTCGTCTTAGCAAAGTGTTGGAAACACTTGCCTTTTTGTGCAAGCGTTGCAATATCAGCGCAGCGTGTTCAACGGCATGGTACTTATAAATACTTATGTATGTATTTTCTAGTATAAAGGCACACATACAGAAAATTGACTTGTTGGTATGGTGCCTCAGATATGCGCAATAATCGCTTTTTTATTGACAATGACACAAATATCACCGCTAAAACTTGAGCAATGTTGACGGGCGTTGCGGGTGGGGTCTGCCTTGTGAAGTATCGTGTGGTGCCGTTTGGGGTAACGTTATTCGTTGCGGCGCACAAACAGACAAATGTGCAGTCAGATGGACAGTTATACACACCAAAATTTTTGCGTCGAACGTCCCCAAGAAAGACTGTCGTCTTTAAAAAGGGTCAATTTCTCGTTTGGGTGCTTAAAGAGAAATGTTATCCTGACAAAAGGACGTATATTCGACATAACATATGAACAATGCCTGTAATCGTTCAAACAAAACACAGGTAATGACACAATGTGATTTTCCAGCGGATGGTCGGTACATTCATATGGAGTAAATGCAGCCAAATATTCTTTTCTCTGCCGCCAAACTTCTGCTGGCGTTTTAGACGGATACGCAAAGCGGTGGGCATAGCCACGATAGTGTCAAAGAACAATTTCGTGCAACTTACAGCATCGGCGTCGGCTGCTTTCGTTACGGGTGGGAAACCCGGGCTCAACGGACAACTTTCCAAAATTCAATGTGTCACCTCGGTTGCTGTTACCGTGGTAATCTCGAGAGTTCATGAAATTACAAAAAATATTGGCTACGTTAGTGCTGAAATCTCAACCGGTGTCTGCCAACCAGGTTTTAATCTCGGTTTTTTTTTGGGGAGGAGCAGTTGTAAGCAGTGAAATTAGGGTTTGTATTTCCTAAGTGGCATGTTTTTTTTTCGTAGACATTATATGAATTTTATTGTACAGGCGGGGCTCACACAAAATTGCAAAACGATTTCCAGAGTTTTCGAGAACCTAAAAGCTACGCTATGCTAGCGTCTATGGCGGTAAATTGTAAGCGAGGCAAACGATTAACAATAAATACTATATTTTGATTGAGAGTGGACCTGAATAGTTCTGCGGGGCACTCAGGCTCTCAATTACCAAGCCGCAAAAGTGTGTCAAGATGTTTTGGTAAACAAAAGATTGAGTAATTATGTAGTATTAGTTCCGTCCAAGGCTGTGCTTTTGCGCATCACGAGAGGTTGGCAGTAGGCGTCACATAAAATGAATAGCGAAGCTTCAGGTTTATTTATATTTGATTTATGTACGAAGTGTTCAGGAATCTTTGGGCACAGTCGTAAGTAACAGCACCAACAAAGCGTACAGCTGTGCTTAGTGTCTTAAAGACGCCTAAAATGTGCATCCCTAATTTGAAAAGCATTCACCTATGACCTAGTGGACACTTAGTAATTACCGTTGTACTAGGCGTCATTTTCCAAAAAAGATTAATAATTAAAGTCACGCCATGTGGATTTTTTTCGTCGGGACAATGTTGTGGTGTCCGCTGAAAAGCGAAAAGCTGCATGGTGGAAACTAACTTCGGCACTGCTGGTGGATGGCGTTGCATATCAACCATTTAGTGTTGGGCAAAAGCTGCGTTACAGTAGACGCAGCTTGTATGATGCGGTGCGGCAGCAGTTTATTTTGCCAACCCTTGGCTTTTAGTGTTCAACGCATTAACTTGCATGGCTTTACCACATTTTTTTTCTTCTGGGATTGCAGTCAAAGCGCAATCTGTTACCTGTACATATCAACAGCGGGTTATGGAGGCAATTTTTCTGTCATCACCGGTCACTCTAACCCTGAAATATTGAATATAAAAATCAAGTGTCCATGCAATTCAACTGTTCTATCTCAAAGCGACGGTGGTGCTTGACATCGCCCCAGGAAAAGCACCCCTCAGACTCCTCTCTTTGTCAAGCGAAAAGTCGCATGGACAGACTTGCGAACGTAGTTTTGCCGACGGGTGCTGATATAGCAAAAGCCAGGACACATGAACTGCATATCGGCTACGCGGCTTAAAGCCCACCGTCAGTTATAAAAGGTCCGTCCATGATCACGACTTATTACATAAGACGAGCACCGCATTGAGCTCCTGTGATGTAAACGGTTGATCCATGCGCGGGTTCCGTGAGTGAGGAACATGATTCACTGTATGTAGCCTTCTGTACGTTGTCTGGTCCATGGTCATAGCGCAGAAATCTTCTGCTACCTCAATTTCGTGCCGGCGATGAAAAAGTGCAAGGGCTTTAAGGCAAAGCGCTGCTCTGGAACAGAACGTAGGTCTCGCACAATCCTCCATGTCTGAGACAGTGGTTTATGAGGATCTAGCGACGCACAAAATTTTTTGCATCGTTGGGTGTCTAATTTGGCGAGGCGCCGTTGTACCATCTTTTGGATGCGCCGGGCTGTTCGTAGATCGTCTGTGGAATTGGTGCGTCGGTATCGTCTTTCGGCAAGACGGCGGATCGCACAAAGTCGCTCCAGCTCGAGGTCAAACACAGAGTACTTCGAAGGGCATAATATTGTGTGCATAGCCACATGTGCAGTTTCCTTAATAGCTTGCTGAAGACCATTGGACAGGTCTTCTTCATAAGCATCTTCAATTGAGTTTTGAACACAGTCCAATCTATTCTTCGTGTTGTGGTAGAGAAGTACGTGTTCGAAATACCTTTTATCTTCAAGTAAGTGGGGCTGTGGTCGCTTCCGTGTGTTTCATTGTCCAAAAACCACCTCACCCGTGTAGCAAATTGGCGTGAAACGAAGGACAAATCAAGACAGCTACTATATGTAGTGCCTCGCAAAAACGTAGGACTGGCGTCATTCAGAAGGACGAGACCATGGCTGGAAACCAATGATGCTAGACGTCGTCCCGTTGAATTAAGCCTTGAGCTTCCCCAGATGGGATGATGCGCATTGAAATCCTCGGTGATAACCAATGGACCCGGATGATATGTATGACATTTCATACAGAATGCTGTGCAACCTTGGTAAACGGGCACGAAAAGCACTCCTTAACATCTTCAACGATTCCTCACAAGCTGGCGTCGTTCCGCAAGATTTGAAGATTAGCTGCTTGGTACCGATCCTTAAGCCTGGCAAATATCTCCTGGACATTACCTCTTACCGACCGATCGCACTTTCAAGTTGCGTAGGAAAGGTAATGCAGAGAATGATGTTGGCCAGGCTTGAATGATACCTGGAATACTATGTGATATATCGGAACGCCGTGGCTGGTTTTCGCCGTCACCGATGTTCGATCGACAATGTTATAGATCTCATCACATATGTCCAGCATCAAAAGGCATGTAAACGACTATCTGCGGCCATGTTCCTTGACATAAAAGGAGCATACGACAACGTTCTTCATGACGCCATCCTCGAAGTCATTGAGTCAGTGGGGCTAGGCGGACAACTGTATTGTTGCACACGCAGTTATTTACATGGGCGGACCTTATTTGTGAACACTGCAGATGGTCCAACCTCCCTACACCTAACGCATCGTGGAGTTCCGCAAGGTGGCGTCTTGAGTGCAACCCTCTTCAACCTCGTTCTCATTGGTCTTGTAGAACGACTACCAAGTGTGGTCATGTTATCCATGTACGTTGACGACATCTGCGTCTGGGCATCTGGCGTGACAAGACCTCGTGCACGCGCAAGACTTCAGAAAGCTGTGACGTTGGTATCAGTGTACCTCAAAGAACAGGGTCTGAAAATCTCGCCAGCGAAATGCGCATTGATTGCTTTGAGTCGAAAGCAATGAGAGCATACGCTATATTAATCGACGGCCAAGTCATACCATATGTCCGGACGCACAGATATTTATGCGTATTCATTGATAGAGACCTCTGCTGGGGCCCACATGTGGCCCACTTGAAAAAGAGGCTAACAGAAATTGCTAACCTATTCAAGTATCTTGGAGGAAAAACCTGGGGGACTTCAGTACATGCAATAACGCAATTGTACAAGACACTTTTTCTTGGCTATTTGCGCTACTGTTTTCCTGTGTTGACCAATACCTGTAGAACCAGCATTCGTACTTTCGAAAGCATCCAGGCTATGGCTCTGCGAGTTTGTCTGGGGCAACCGCGATGTTCATCAACAGCTGAGACAATCGCGATCGCTAATGACTACCCGCTCAAGACGCATAACATGATGGAAGCGCTCAGAACACACGTGAGGCATCTTACTCGCGCCCCTGCCCATTATCTAGCTTCACTGTCAGAAGACTGACCTCGTGCCTCATTTTGTCAGATTGTCTCGTCATATCGCCCACGCATTCCTACGGGATATACAACTCTATCTAGAATTTGAACTTCTCCATGGAGTATGACCTATGCACATGTTGAACTCATGGTTCCAGGCAGAGGGTCAAAAGCCTGGCTCTCGTCTCAAGCGCTAAAGCAGCTTTCTCTTCTCTTGTTATAAGAGAAGCACAGTGAGCATAGTCATCTATATACTGACGCTTCAACTAAAGTGGATGAGTCTGCAGGATCAGTGATCTTTCCTGCAACAGTGACAACAGTGAAGTTTCGGTTATCCCACCAGACTTCATCGACAGCTGCAGAACTTACTGCTCTGCGTAGCACAGTTAAAGTCATTAAACACCAAGAAGCCAAGAAATTGAGCGTGTTCACGGACTCTAAGGCAGCACTACAGTGTTTGATATTCGCCTTACGCCGGTGACCTGATGAACAACTAGTGCTGGAAATTAGGAAGCTGCTTCACCACCTCTCCGACGAAGGACACAGAATCACGTTTCAGTGGCTTCCAAGTCACTGCGGCATATTCGGCAACGAACATGTCGATGCAGCTGCTCGATCAGCACACGAAGATGGTGAAGAAAAATTTATATCATTTTCAAGGACTGATGCTGCAATGACAATCCGAAAAATTGCTAATGCAGAATTAAAATCCCTGTGGAATGCCGAGTGCGTACGGCACACGTGACTGCATAAACTGGACATGTCTAGTCGACTCCGGCCTCCGTCTGGACTCTCTCGACTCGAGACAACGGTGCTTTGCCGACTATGGCTTGGTGTCGCCTTCACCAAAGCTTTCGCCTTCCAAATCGGCATGGAAGACAGTGCTGCTTGCGGTCATTGCGGCAGCGATGAAACTATAGAGCACGTTCTCTGTCACTGCCCTCGTTACAGCGTGCAAAGACGGCAACTAGCTGCTGCGTTAGCTCGGCTTGACGACAGACCTTTGGCTGAACAATCAGTGGTTCAAAGATGACATCATTTGTGTGCTCACGAAAAATCAGTGAAGGCCTCACTGAACTTTTTGCGTGGCAGTGGCCTATTCTATAGACTGTAGCTCCCCAGCACCCCAGCCCCCCTTTTTTCGCGCGCGTCTATTTCCGTCTTCGCTTTCTTTCCCATCCTTGTTCCCCATTCCCCCTTCCCATATTGCAGGGTGGCAAACTGGATGCTTCATTTTCTGGTTAACCTCCCTGCCTTTCCCTCATTTTATTCTCTCTCTGTCCATGATTCCTCACCAGCCATTCATCCAGTACCCACACGGTTCGTTATGTGTCTCCCTAATACGTCTCAAATGTGAAGGGCATGACAGCATTATTTACAAGCCATTACTGATGCGACGTAAGCCGATGCGAGCGTTACACCTGCCAAAACAATGAAACGGCTCCACAAAATTTTGCGCCGAAAGTCACCGATATCATTTGAAGAGAAAATAAGGCTAAATGGTGGTTCATGCAACCCATCACCAATATCAGTTGAGTAAGTTTTCTACCACGCTATTTGTCAAATACTGAGCTACGTAGGCAACGTACTGAACTTTTGCACCTTTACGGAGGGTGTCACGCCAAGTTTAGTGAGAAACTTGTGTAACTTTGCAGCTGGTGGCACGCCAAGTTAATAGTGAAACATCTGGTCACTATAAACTTAGCTACGTATTATACACAGCTATGCTATTATTTGATACCACCAGTTTTGCAACGATTCACAAGCATGTCCTTCCTGAAACGTTCATTTGTCGAGTAATGTCGTTGCCAAAGTTGTGGCTTAGATGCGCACTGTTGACTTGAGATTCCCCTAATGTTGCTTGCCCGACTCAAATCGTGTGTATTATGTTTACTTGGTTCATCCTTTTATCCACCGAAAATGCAGCCAAGATTGGATCACGTGGCATGCAGGTCAGCGGCCGAGTGTCTTAGCCAAAAGACAACCGCGTGGGGACAAGATACAGTTCAGCTCATATTCAACCTGAAGGAATTTTTGTAACTGCAAACACATCACAAGAATACATTGTATGCTACTTATTTTAAGTAAATACCCTGCAGAATGCAACTAGCTCTTACAAATCTACTCTGTTTTCGCTCGGACTGCACGGTGCGTTACATGCCAGCCTCAACTTTGTGACACCTGCGCCATTATTTAAAATATGAAACGGCAACAAGGACCCTTGCAAACGGGCCAGTCTCGGCCGTGTCACTTTATTGCACATCATCTAAGAGACAAATTTTAGCACCCCAGAACCACTGTGGTCAGTCAACACTTACCTGGATCACGACCTTGCCTATGTGACCTCCAGAGGCTATAAAACGAAACGCTTCTTCGGTCTCTCCTCGGATGAACTTGAACGCATTGAGAGGCTGGACCACACCAGACTTAATTCCTTCGGCGAGAAGTGCATTGAGGCTGCGCTTGTGCGCTAATGCGATAGGGTCATCTGTCCACAGGCTGTCCAACATGACCCCGTGGAAGTTTACGTTCTGCAAAAATACTGACATGCCCAGATCGTTGTTCTCGAACAGGTCGAGCTTGCCAATCTCCACGAAGCGACCATGCGTGGCCAAGCAGCGTAAGCTGGCTTGCAACTTCTCGTCGGACAAGGAATTCAGCACCAGGTTCACCCCTGTGACAAAGAAAACCGTTGTTGTTTTGAAGGTAACGATCATATTTGGTTTACTTTTGCACCATCAATTTCCAAAAGCTCGGACCAAAAATAAATTGAGAGACATATTTTATAAGAACAAGAGCAATAGTCAATTGCTTGTAAACAGTGCCAGTAAGAAAGGGTTCATATGAGATGACGGAAGGCAGAAATAACACTGTATTGAGATCCAAATATAAGGCTTGCTGTGTTAAGAAGTAGATAAAGAAGATCATTACAACTCACTGAAACGTTAAATCTATGAGAAAGAATACGCTGATAGATATTTTTTTCAAATCGGGCTGTGTGGGCCGATAACCTCCCACCTCAAAATTCGTTTTATATTGCGGGTGCATTGCGAGTCGATGCTTGATGCTTTCCAAGCTTGATGGAAAATCACTGAACAAACCTTCGTTTGCCGGGGTCGCGTGGTATGCAGGAATGAAACGGTGAGCAGCTCGTGAAAAAGTGGTGCCGTCTTGAGCTAATATGAAATTAGTTGGATTGAAAATGTTCAAAAGTTATGTTATAACGTTGTTGCGAAAGGGAAAGACGGAGTTTTCGTACCCCCTAATATTGACTTTCACGTGGAACACACTTGCTCCCTGTTAGGGAAACCCTCAACATGCAAACTACCAAAAGTCGCCGCTTTTAGTAAAAAAGCAGCCAGCATGCTCGTGAACCTTCATTGTACTCATAAGTTGCTAAAATGTATCGCTAATAATACACTTAGAAGGTTCAGGGGAAGGCTCTCAGAAGTTCCAAGGCCACTATCCCGTCTACTCCTATGGAAGCATGGCCTGGAACCATTTGACCAGGGCTGACGTTCCAGCTTGTTATCACATGTGCTCTAGCATGTACTGGAAAGGTTACATGGACATGATGTATTACCACTGAACGATGGGAAGGTGAACACAAACATTCCATTTTTATCTTCACAGTGGATACTATTCTTCAAAAAGACTTACTGAACATTTGGAGGTTTTGCGTTGCGCCTTCTGCACCTCACGTGTTTTTTTTTGTTACTTTCGCAAGGACTGTGCACGTTTGTAGGTGGCGATATCATGTCGTGAATTCACCATATGGCAGACTGTTGTGTGGTGTCATACTGGCGTAAAAGTCTAGGTGATCTATCACGTCGCTATGATTTCGTATCAGGACTTTATATTGATACCCGATCCCGTCTTAAGAGACTTTGTCAAGACGTAATTTCTAATGACGCGTCTTTCTGTAGCATTTGTGACTATGTCGGTGGTTACTTTTTGTCTTCTATTTCGCATATAGATGTTTCAGCTGTGATACACCACACTACTGGCGTCGTAAACGCTGTTTTCTCGAAGTATTTTATAACAGTCCTAAAGTATTTTATAACAATCGTGAAGACGATTGAAGTTGTAACCAACTTTTGTGAAAAGGAATAATAACAATGATAGGTAATCTTGTTTTTGAAAGAGAAGATCTCTCAATGTTATTCGAAGGCGAACTATCATTTTTGGTCAATCTGCTTCATGAAAATCGGGTGTGTATTCAAAGGGGTAAATCTAAAATGCTGAGCTGGAGTGGAAGACGTCTGAACGTATGTCTGGTCAGTAACAAAAAATAAGCTGGCGAAATGTCTTATGTCAATAAACCTATGCAAATAATGTCAATCTTTTATAAGGTGGTAGTGAATCTTTTTCAGAATGAATCCATAAAGGCACCTTCAACTGTTGCAGCCGATTGCTGTGGCTTCTGGGGACATATAAAACTCGAAGCTGCACTCACTTGTAATTCAGAAATTTTTAATAATGACAAACTGTAGTGGTGCAGTAATGTCGCATTTTGTCAAGCGTAAGCACCTAGCCTACAATTACTATTTGTACTCGCACGAAGTTCCAATGCTTTTGCTCGACACTGATATTATCATACCATAACGTTATTTCGCAATGAACAGTGTTTTCAATTTCTCTAAATAAGCAATTACTTCATGAAGTTTATGGAGACAGTATGCACTGAATACAAGTGCAAGACACACTATAATATGATGTTCGTAAATGAGAAAGCTTGAAACATACTCGGGCTCTTTAAGAATCATTAGGGTAGTCAATGATGGCATTTATTTGCTGATGAAAAAGTCCATTGTTTGGGTAGAACAGCTAATATATAAGAAAACGTAAGCAACCCTTATTTATTCATTTCATGAGAGCACCTTCCAGAACCATGTAGTCCGGTTCTAACTTCAACGTCGATTAACTCACCGTGGCCATCAGTTTCATTCATTACGTGTTCCTCGAAGGACAGGTCACGAGAGTTAGCAATGTTTTTGTCTTTTAATGCTGGAAACCGCAACTTGATAAACTCTCTCTTGTCATTTGTTCCTGAAAAAAAAAGAGAAGCAACAGTAACACCATTTATGAGCTAGGTACCTCGAGTAGGAAAAGAAAGTAACATCGCGAAAGGAACGTGGACGACAAAAAAACAAGACCACAGGACAAGCGCACTGCCAACTGATTGTTCCCTACGTGAACACCGGACTCTTATACACTCGTGGAATAAACATTTGCACATCAAACACTTGCCGAGAACAATTACATTCATTGTTTCCTCATGCCTTGCCCCCCCCCCCCTTCCCCCAGGGTGGTCTAGTGGCTGAGGTACTCGGCTGCTGACCCGCAGGTCTTGGGATCGAAGCCCGGCTTTGGTGGCTGTATTTTAAATGAAGTTGAAAACGCTGTAAGCCAGTGTGCTCAGATTTGGGTGCATGTTAAAACACCCCAGGAGGTCAAAATTTTTGAAGCCCTCCACAGCGGCGCCTATCATTATCATATAGGGGTGTGGGACGTTACACCCCACATATAAATAAATCAAATCAAATCAAATAATCTTGCTCTAAACGTTTTTTATGCTTTCATGTTACCACCCTACTGCAATATAGCTTCTGCATTGCGTGGAGCACGCCCAAATAAATGGAAGTTACCTAGATGATAATCTTAGGACCTTCCAAGGTAATTTCTTGCTCAACGCGAACATCACAATTAGGTTTGAAACATACGTGACCACTAGCGATAACGCTCGTATATTCGACGATACAGTCATGAAAGCGAACATGCTTCACTTCTCGTCAGTTTTGGATGGCCGACGCTGTGCACGTCGTTTTCGTTAGAAATTGTGCCTTGCTTTTTGCTTGACTTACCACTATATAGCCACACACTCGGACAAGTAAACTTTCATCTTGCCTGTTGCCTACGTGCATGCCACAACCACGTGAAAAGTTGAGCCAACTATATCTTATGAATTCATTACCTTGAATAGATCGTATCGCTATAGAGAAATCCATATTAAACTCGTGAGTGCGCTGTAAAATACCTGAGAGAGTGCATGGTACAAAAAAAAAAAACGAGCGGACCAGCACTGATTTCTGATCATGTTAATCTCTCTCCTTTCTTGTTATGTTGTTCTGTATGTTTTACAAGAGTGAATGCTGTGCTATTTTAGTTTGCACGCAACGTGCCCTCTCAGTTATCGCATTCGGGAAAAGTTTGTGGCAAAAATAAAGATGCTTAAAAATATGGCATCCTGTCTTGGTTTGTATTTCACCTTTGTTGCCACTTCGCACAACAAGCATTAAGTCAAGTTATGCATCAACTCCTTCCATGTATTACTCTGTTGTAAGCAAAACAAACTAACATACTTTTCTTAAATAAACACTTTGAAATGTATACGGTATGGAAAAACGAGAGAAAAGCGCTTAAAATGACAGAACTTTTAATGTTTCTAAAGAAGCTAAGAGCCAGCATAATTGACAATTACCGACAACGTCCTAATTTGTATTCGCTAAAATATACCCGGAAGAGTTTTGAATAAAACCTGTAAGATTAATGTCATCACGCTGCATTTTATTGTGAGACAACCAAGCTTACTTGATTTTAAGTCGGCGCACGCACTTTTACATTCTCTTCTCAAAAAGAAACAGTGGAGGGCTCTCTAGAACAATTTGTCTTTATTTGATGTTCACACTCACCTACTGTGGTGAAGATTTCGCAGCCCATTGAAAGGGCAATAGAGATGGCAGCCTGTCCGACGCCTCCACTGCCATTGTGAATGAGCACCGATTCACCCGTTTGCATACCAGCCCGTAGAATCAGAGCATAGTAGGCAGTCGAATATGCCATGGGCACCGTGGCAGCCTCTTCCATGCTCCAGGATTCGGGAATGTCCCACGTGAGTGCCGGGTCAACAGTGAGGACGCTCGCTATCGACTGGCCCTTGACAATTCCCATGACACGCCGCCCGTTCCAGTCACGGCCTGAATACTCCATACCAAGAAAGGCTTCTCCAATCACGTTGTCACCTGATTGAACGAGCCAGGTATAAGAAACCTCGTGTTACTTCATTTGTAATAACGGTCATACTGTACAAGTAACTATTTTGCATTTAAGAAAATTGGCCAGCAATGAAGACGCAACTGTTGGGTCCTAGTCGTAGTCTATTTCTTACCGTGTGTTTCTTCCAAAGCCCCACTTCGCTCGATATTATTGAACATGGGCTTGCCATATGCCCAATGAACCCCAACTTGACAGGAAGTGTGGTTCGGAATGTACCAATGACATGTTTGTAAACGGTGAATAATGTTAGGGGGATGTGCAGGAGCCTGCCACAATATGCAGAAAAACATTGTTTGAGACTGCATTCAGTTCAAAGACCAAACATCTCGTTACGCCTCTTGTACAACAATTCAGCCAGCTGCAACTAAGCCTAAGGGTGGAATAGCTAAATTTCTCTACTCTTACCAGCATGGCGACTCCTATAAATTCCGCGGATGTCTCTCCTGTGCAGCACCACCACCAGTCTCGCAGTCCGCGAAGACAGTTGTAGTAATAAATAGAATAACAAAGCAGTAGCAGTTGGGTATTTTAAAGCAAAAGTTGTCTATGGCTAGAAAAACAAGGGACCGTTCGGCGTCAGTATCACGGAAGGTCTTCATTGGCTGCGCTTTCAGTTACGTCATTTTCAGTGTTGTACGCAAGCACACGCTTCAAAAGCTGCGGTATGAGTGACGTCATTTATCCTGAGCATGTGCGCATCAGTTGCTACTGGGAGATTTCACATGGGTGAGCCTCATACAACTATATAACAGGGCCGATAGTGAAAACGTGAGAGACCTCGCATTCTCCGGGCCGATGGTGCAATCTGTGTAGAAAAACAGGCTCCCGAGGCACAGTACTGCGTGCGATGATCCGGCAGCCTTTGGAGCCATGCTAAATAAATTGCGAATGGTAATGAAAACGCCGGTTGCGAAGAAATCCCGAAACTCCGCCACCGAGTTAGCTCGCCTATGCCAAACGCTTGCAACAACGACCTGCTGAACAAGCGCCGTTGCGGCCACAACAGTGTCAACGTGATGACTGCTGGAGCGCGTTCACAGCGGGAGTTTCTCCAGCGGCACTTCCGTTCTGGCTGTGACATCTGCGACCACCTCTGGTTCGAGAATAACCACGGTCATTAACGAATTGCGAGACGCTTTTAACCGAATATTTTGCTCCTCAATGACCGTGATGATGCGAGGCACGATGTGTGGCGTTTGAAGCGAACATTTCAGTAAACCCCAAGCCAAACGTGTGCCTAACCTCACTGAAAAGGCCGAAAATATAACCAATATTTGTGTAAGGCTTCAGGGCTGGGTCGGGTCGACCCTTCTGCTAAAACTGAGGGCGCACCTATTAAGCTTTAGCTGGTTGCTATTTGTACGGAGTTCTTGTGAGTTGAGTTCTATGTTTATTATCCAGTGAGTGCCCAGACGTGCTTTCCCGCTTCTGCCTTCTAAAGAAAGGCACATGCGTCCCTGCAGTGTCATCTTTGCCTTCCTCATAGCCCGCACGTGGCAATATTGCTAAAGCATACTGTTAACTGCAGAAGTGGCAAAAGGTGGGCTAGTTTCATCCGGTAAAATATGGGAAGGCAGGCTACGTCAGAGCAGGCTTTCCCAAAAGTATCATAGTAATGTACAAGATACACACACAAAAATGAAAAATTAAGAACAAAAAAGTTTAAAAAAATATACCCAGGCACTGCGTAGAGGGGGGGTCAAAAGTTGCCAGGCCACTGTTCCATGTAATTCCATGAAAGCGTGGCCTGAGAACTTTTGATCAGGACTTTACATATATACACTTTAAGACTTATAACGCGCGCGCACAGTCTATAGACATAGCCCAGTTTATATAGCGTAATCTCACCGCGGATAAAGTTCGCACAGAGGATAACAAGGTGCAATAAGAAGGAAATAGAGCTCATTAAAATAGTGTCTATTACAAAATCGCGGAGGGCACTCACTGCGCACCTTTGATTATTAGAATGCCACCAAGGTCTAAGTATTTGCCAACAGTTAGTGCACATGTTCTTCTGTCAAGCGGTTCAATTGATCATACATTTCAGTGCGTTGATCATCGTATTGCGAACACTTTATAATGGTATACTGACTGACGCATAGACACCATCAAAGTGATCACAGTGCGGGAACGTTCGGCATAAGAAGCGATGATGTTTGTATGCAACACCTAGTTATAGACGGTCCTGTAGTTGACATATAACATTAAGCTAAAAAGAAAGATAAAGCACAAAGGTGGGACAAGTGAGTACCGCACTCATCCTCGCCTGACCTTCATTCGTCGCACCTTCATGCTGTTCTTTCATGTTTAAAACACCTCTAACCTTCTGCCCCACAAATGCAAGAATATTGTTTCACCTCTATTATTACTGTTGATTATTAGTTCACCACTATTATTTTGTTCTTCAAATTTTGACAATCTGCAATTTATTTTAAGGTAGTGTGCCGGATTTTAATTATTTCAGAATATATAAGCAATCTTTTATAGATGCCAGTCAATCGTACAAAAGTAATAAAATAGATACAATGGTTTTAGTACACATTTCCTATGCACAAAAATACACTGAAATCTCCGACAAAAAGCAGCATTTAGAACCATCATGTCCGCATTACTTTCACAACTATTTACGTGCGAGCGACCATGCAAGCAAAGTACATGTAACAAAAACACAACGTTTTGGTGAAATGTCGAAGCGATAAAGGGAAGAAATAATACTGTGGGTGAAAAACAATCAGCATGAAATGGCTGTGATGCATGGTTTCACGGGTACTTACTATAACCTGGTAAAGAAATGTACCTTAAAGCACCCAAAGATGCCAGTTGAAAGAAAACGTTGCAATGCAGGAGTTATTTGAACTACGAGTCAGTTGAATAAATTTACCTACAAATGGTTCGTATGGAAGTGGCTTTATTCGCCCATATATTTCGTTTCGATTAAAGTCCTATATTACATGCGAATTTCAATTAAACCTATATTATGCAGTGCGATTTCTTGGTTATATGTGTATGCCATCAAGGCGGCGGAATATCTCCATGAAGGAGTTACCCCTGAGGTGAGTTGAAAAAAAAATCCCAGCATATCCACGAAGTGAGTGATGATGAGTGGACAAAGCTGCGGGGTATCATTGACCCCCGTACATTCTTTATTTTTTCCTTCATGAAACGAGGTGCACTTCATGACCATGACAGAGACAGCGTGGAGCGCGCACGTTTTGTAGTTCTGGGGCCGCCACAGTGAAAGAAACAGCGTGCACAGGAGCATATATATTTCTCTCCGTACTTGTTCTCCCCCCTCCTTTACCTCAGCGTGACTGTTTTGCTACCTCCTTGCTATAATAAATTATACCATACTGTTTGATACGAAGGTATGTCATGCTGTGCTAGCATGCGTAGATCCCTGGGTTGTTGAAACGCGCTCATTTGAATCGTGGGCTCTGATGTTTGAATCTCACATTGCCGAGGCATGTTTCGCGATTATTTAGTTTTTTCTCTCTATATTTGTCTTGCTTCTCTCTCTGGGTTTATCATTTTTCTCCATCTCTTTCTACTCATTCTGTAAGCCTTCAGCACTGGAGCATGCAACGGCGGAGATGACGTTACACTTGTTCTGGAGCGAATCAGAAGAAGACGACGGCGTAGAAGAGCGGGACCGAGAGAGCACGTTCCGGTTCATGACGAGGATACTTTATGTACCCTCCGTACGGACTAACGGTCACCTTATACCGCCCCGCTGTTAGAAACACTACTCACCGCGTGACGAGTCCAAGTTTAATTTACCGCTGGCCAGCATGACGTCGCGGAAGTTGACGGCAGCATAATAGACGTCCACGTACGCCTCCTCAAAGCCAATTTTATCGCAGGGTGAGAGATACCTTAAAGGAGACTCGTACCACTGCAGACTCGAGAGGTCTCCAGGAGTTTGCACGTTGAGGTATGCGAACTGCGTTGTTGTCTTTGCCTCTCCGCCTGCAAAACGTTAAACGAATTCGGGTGGGCAAGCAGGTAAATCTATGTATTATTCAATTGAAATAAACAGAACGAAGTAAGTGCAAGTGTTCAAAATTTTCTTTACTTTTCAATATTTCACAAAAGTATCAGCTTTGCCACAAAGGGAAGCCATAAACGCAATAGCAACAATTTGAAAGGCCACGCACAGATGAGAAAGCAAGTTGAAATGTACCCCACGTTTTTCGCGCACAAATTACGCATGAAACGTTCTCACAGGTATGGATGCACGCGAATAAGCGTCTCATTCGTTACTTCACTGAGTCTGAAAAGCGTGCGCTTTTCGCAAACGAATACTGCAATGATTGCAGTGACCTTTTTGCACCCGCTAACTACAGCAGAATTGCTCCACGTAAAGCCCGAGGCCAGCCAAGGCGCACGATCCTCTCCTCCTTGCCACCGCGAGATACGAGCGCGCGAGGGAGCGTAGCTTCCCTTCTCTAAGCCGAGCAAAGTGCGCGTAGGAGATTAGAGCGAGTGCCACTGCGCAATGTGGCGACGTGCGCTCATTGCGCCATCTTTCTGGTAATGCTGAAAACACAGCTGCAGTAAGTTGATTGATTGATTGCTTGATATGTGAGGTTTAACGTCCCAAAACCAGCATATGAATATGAGAGACGCCGTAGCGGAGGGCTCCGGAAATGGCAGCAGTAAGTGGTAGATATAAATAGCTGGTCGTTTGAACCATGAAGAACGTTCTCCGACATGGCTCAGTGGTTAACACCTCACTTTCACAACGAAGAGGTCCAACGTTTGATTGCGCGCGCCGGAAAGCATTTCTTCTGGATTTTTTTCTTTCTTGCGTTTTCATATATATAGATACGTATACACATACGGTGGATGACAACGACGCCGACGCCGGCGGCGAAATCCATCCAGGAGTGTCCATATAATTGCTATCGCAATAAAATATCAGAAACATTGAGTCGGTGGTAACGCAACACAAACGTTTCTTCTTGATATTTCTTTTGAACGAGGGTATTTAGTCCAACTGTCAGAGTGTCTGTATGGAAAAATTGTTTTAAAAAGCTATAATGAAGGCTCACCTCTAAGCTAAGCCGAAATAAAATTCATTTTTAGCGGAACCATTACTTCGAAATCGGCAATGATTTCTTTAATTCTGCACATGGTAAGCAAGCATTGACAGGCGGCCATAGTGTGGTCATGGATTTTAACTTCTTTGTCGGTAAATTCAGTGTCAGTGCACTAACGGGCCCATTGCCGTGGCTTTCATGGTGGAATAGGAACATTCCGGCGAAATTGTCTTCCCAGGCCACAGGTTTGCCTATGAATAGAAAAGTTATCATCAGCCCCTTTGTAGCGCAATGTTCAGAGGACTTGGGTAACCTGAACTACCGCCAATCACAGCCGATCGCTTCATAAAATAACTTATCTAGGAAGGCAGCAATCAACTTCACGAGGCGGTAAACGACAAGGCAATACATTCTCGACTATTAACGCCTAAACGATTTATGAGTTTAAAACATTTCGGTTAAAAGAAGATTCGTCTCTGTCTGGGGCTGAAACATAGGAATAATGCGCTTGTGATACCGCTGGTCCACATCAGCAGTAGGAAACTAAACGGCGGCGCCAGCAACGAAGCTATACCCTTCATGGAGGACAGTAAACCTAGCATCAGAGCGCAATGCAACTGTGAGGTGAAGAGTAAAGTGTTCCTTCGCCCTAATTCTACTCTTACCACGAGCGCACTGATTGAGAGCTTTGAGTGTTGCTGCTGTGGTCACAGTGAAGAAAGCTGCAAGAATCTGCGACAGCTATTTTTAAAACATTTTTTGTCGAAACGTGTAATACTGTGTCACAGAATAGCCAGTAAGTCAGCCAGCGTTAACACAATTCTTAAGCTTTTTTCAACCATGCACGACACAGCGAATCGTTGTAGTTATTAATACACACTGTCAGGTTACACCCAAATTCACAGGCATCAAGGCCGAAGTGCTGCTGTGGCTTACGCGACGCAGTCACGACGACAAATTACGCTAAATAGATTAACTGCCTATAGTATCTATAGCTTTGCTATATATTGACAAAAAAAAGTTTTGTAGATTCTACTTTTGCAACTATGAGCACGTAGGTACAAAGAAAGCGACACTCACCATTATATTTCTCAGAAAACAAAGAAAAAAAACGTGGTTGATTTCTATTTTTGAGAAACCGTTTAACTCAAAAACGAAACGCGCGTTCAAGGGGAAGTTAGCGTTTATTTTGCATTGTTTTGCACCGGCTTGAACGAATGAATGCTAAAGCACGACGAGCATCTCGACAAGCACGACGAGCATCTCGAAACTTACACCGCGCACCTCAAGAAGAAATCACGCACGATATGAGCATGCATAGAATGAGCGAGAACTGCCACACTGCAGCTCGACAAAGTGTGCTGTGCAAAAAGAAAGGCACAAAAGACAACCGCATGATAATACACACGACAAGCGAGAAAGACTGTCACAGTTTTTATGTTTTAATGCTTGAGCAGTGTTCTCCTTTTGTAAATGACAATTTGGATGAGCGCGCGCACAGGAGAGACCACACGCCGTGAAGGCGAGGCTTATCGAAACGCAAGAGGCGACCAAATTTAGAGCGCACCATACGTTAACGCAAGTGCGAGCCGCTCACGCTATCTCGCCACTGAGGGTGTAAACGCGCAGAAGATTCGGACTTCTGAGGACCACCATACGGTATATGGTGTATAAAAATGGCTTGCTATTAGCATGTTTGACATTCTACGCTTCATGAGCTAGTGGTTAGCGCTGCGCGCTGTAGATCGTGAGGTCGCTGGTTTGACGCCTCACGAAAGCGTTTCCGTTTCCTTCTTTTTTTTCCTTTGCAGTCGGTTGGTATATAGTTTACAACGTCAAATTTGTGACAGAAATGCGTGAGCGGAGCCGGGGTGAACCTGGGTATTAGCAAAATCACTTTAGTCTTCAAAAAGACAACTCACTCCAATGCACGTTGCGGTGCCTGTAGGATCCCCACTGACCGTCGCAGTAGACGTTCATGACCAGGTCTTTTTCCAGTATGTCCTTATAAGCTGGGTGGGCGGCGCTGAAGTCGGTTACATGGTTGAAACTATTCAAGGTGGCGTCAAATACGCAGCTGTGTGGAATAAAATTATGATGTCAAGACTTTCTAGGTACCAATAACCCAAGTTTTTCTTTTATTGATGATACTCAGAAGAGTATTTCTACTTTTTTAAGCAGCGTAAACGCCAACGTCGTCGAATCATTCAACTTCAGCCAGTCACGTGTGTGCACAACCGACAAATATTTTTTTCTCTTATCGCATTGCGCAATGTTTCATCCTGTGTTTCTTTTTCTTCCGTGACGTTATTGACTTCTACTCGTGTGTTGAGAAGCGCAGCACTTCTGTTGGTACACGCAAATGATGTCTTGCGTTAGACATTGAAATGTACCACAGAAGTGCAACCACGAAACGTAGCAACGTGAAGTGACCAGTGACTTCAAGAAAACATCAGATTTCTACATCAAAAACGAGTGACCACAAAAACAAAAAAGTAGTATATAGAAAACAGCATGATCAGTGAATGCATATGTCGTATTGGCTCTTTAAAATCGCACTTCTTCGGTTGTCTATTTCGCAACCGAGGAGACAACAAGCCAAAAGCCGTTCATCAAGCAATTATGTGTAGGCTTCTCTTTTCATTACATGTTAACAACTGATTATCTCGGCGATAGATAAACAAGTATGTTTCAAGAGAGACCATACATTTTACGTTACGGTCGAAGTATTTAGTAGACCATATCAAGCGTTTGGCATGACTTTATTACGTAATTAGCGAAAGCTCGTACGGAACCGTTTTCACGCGATGAAGCAGCGGGAGGTATTATACGCGTTGTATCTTGATTTAGCTAAACATCACAGAACTCTATGACATGGCAACACATTTCATATTAGTGCATATTTGGCATGACGTGTGTCTCAAAAATAGTGGCTAACTTAGTCTCTTTCTCACTGGGGGCCTGAAATTCACACCAAATTACAGCTTCCAAGTTGGTACTACAAGCATGCAACAGCATCATAATAGAAGCATCTTGGCTTGGAGCATCAGTGCACCAGAGTTGAATACCACGCAAAGAATAAACCCAGAGAAAACAAACACAAGTTTTGAAGTCTTCTACTGAGGAGTTGAGGGTCAAAGGCCTATAACTACAAAAAAGTTTTTATTATTGAACCGGAAAGACTAAGCGAGAATGGGTGATTTGTGGTTGAACAGGGTTGCAATAACACCTGAGGGCGAATCTCAGGGCTCTGTTATTTCTCGAATGCTAATAAACCTAGCGTCACCAAACAGACTCTGACAAAAGAAGGTATAGCCAACCACCGCGGCATAACGGGTACCTGCAGAACACTCTCTAACCAGGTCTTTTATCTTATTTTTCATGCACATAAGACAACAATATAAAAAGCAACGAACATAAGGACTTTATGCGTGAGCTTCAGTGTGCTAAAGTACCGCAAAACATAATAAGTATGCAATAGAGAAATATATCTTTGAAGTCGTAAGACAACGACAACCTTTGAGAAAAAAAAAACTTTTTCCTATTTACGCTCTATTATCCGTACACAATTTCGGTCTCCATTAACTTGCAGAAAAACACTGTACGAAAGCAACTTCTTGCAGTGACAACAAATATAGACAAATTAATTTAAGGAAATTTATTTTTAGGGGCACAGTTTTCATTGTGCGAATAATAAAAATAGGCAGGATTAAAAAGCGTACATACCGAATGCGTTGACCGATGTTCTCTTTTCGAAGGCAGTTTGTTAAACCGAGGATGCCACTCTGACCGGAATCTTCAGCGAGTATCCAAATATTCTCTCCCACAGGTTTGCTTTCATATTCCGCAACTTTTTTCTTGAGGGAATCAATCCAACTGAACTGCTCATTTTGCACCATTACGATTGTCTGCTTTGTGACATCGACCGTCAAGCTAACTTTTCTGAACAGCAGCAGAGTCGACAGATTGTTTGACTTGAGTGCAACCAACTTGAACCCATGGCTTCTGAGGGCAGCTGTGGTCATCTCCACAGAGTAAACGTGAAACGGAACACCACTCGTTTTAGACAGGAGCGCCTCAGCCGCAGTCAGTGCTGTGCGATGGCACAGAAGAAGGAATCCATGTTCTTTGCAGTGTGAAGCCATTGTTTCAGCCACATTATTCAAGTGGCCAAAACCCCTCAAGATTCCAATAAAAGCAATGACCAAGTCAGCTTCAATTAGCTTTCCTTGTGACACCAAAGATTGGCGAGGTGAAACTGGTTCTGTGACTTCATCCAATTCTCGCAGCGCGATGGTGGTGCTGTTTATGTTGAGGAGCATGTATTCAGTCTTCAGGTTCACGCTGTACATGGACAGGAGAGTGGACACACGAGGACCAATGGCTGCGAGGGTGCTTTCGACTGTGAGCTCCAGGACACGGACCTTAACGGAGCTTGTGTTTTCGAGCACTACATCGAGGACATCTCTGAGAGGGTCCTCTTCTAAGAGTGTGGTGCTCAGGACGTCTTCTTCGAAAATGCTTGCAGAGGCAAGAAGGGCAGATTTTATTGCGGCTGGCAATGCTGCAGCATCGTTTACTTGTTTGTCAATGCCGATGAGCAGCTGCAGAAGGGCATGATTAGGTGTAACGTTGTCTATATACTGGTTTAGGACCATCTCTGGCACTTCAACACAGCTGTTTGAAGCTATAGCTATGTGGCTATTGTTTTCCTCGCTCATTTTCAGGGCACGTTGGCTGATGAGCTTGCACACTTCGATATACTCTCGCAAGAGGTTCTCGCGTTGGCAACAGGTAATCTCATCGTCTATGTAGGGGACAAAGCGGTAGTCTTCTACAATTGGCGTCTGGAGCATCGGACGCCGTTGGACGGTGTTGACTTTGACTCCTTGGATTTCGACGCCACCAGCCTGGCGCATGTTGTAGTGGGAGTTGTACACAAGGTCCACTCCTGCAAACAGAACCATAAGGGTGCCGTTATGAACGTAGCGCTTCCTTCATTAGAGTGCTTGCACTCACTGTCGCAAAGCGGTGGTTTGCAGTAATATATATCTGCAAAGCTGTTAGAGCCCCATTATTCCAAGCTTCATGAAAACAGTTACGTATACATGCAAACACAAAGTACGACATAAGTGTACAAGGTTCAAATACAAAATAAACCCATTTTTCTACACAAGTACTATATTCGTGGAATAAAAAAAAGGGATTGCGCAATGTTTAGGCAGTGCTCAGGACAACATCACTTCTTTCATATCAGTGTTTATATATAAGCCAACCACCAAAAAGACCGAAGACGAGGAACAGAGTGTATTAGTTGTTGCCAGCCAGTTAATGAAAAAATTCCGAAAAACGAGAAAAACTATCCAAGATTACGAAAAAATTCGAATAAAAATAAGGAATTCCGCGACTTTGTGAATGAACCGTGATGTGCAGTCAAACTGGGACATGTTGGCGGATGAGGTATAGACAGACAGCGTGTAAAAACAAATACATTTAAACCCGTGCCAAGAGATGTATTCCGAATGGGCCCCTTGTAGAAAAGCAGTTTAAAACGATTCTCAAACAAACAAAAAAAAAACGTTTGTATCATTGGGCGACGCAATCGCCCACCGACGCTCGTTGGAAACCATATGCACTTGCATCCAACACCTATATAGCCACTCTCAAACACACTAAAAACATATCTTTTTCAACAATATTACCGTCTATGCTGAAAACCAACGTCCAAAAAGTGTGGTGCGCCATTCAGCCACCCCCTTCCCGGTAACTGCATCATCCCTAACGAGTCTTCCGGAAGCTCTGCTTCAGAAAACCGTTGCGCAACTCCTTCTAACGACGTTTTCGAATAGAACATCTCGGAAACTACCGATATTGCTCTGTTTGCACTAAAATGTTATAACTATTTACCGATGTCTCCGATAATTGTCAATTTTCCTGGTGCAATTCGACTAATAATTTTATTGAAGATGCATTCTTCTCATATCTGATATATCTGTGCGAAATTGCTTGAAAGCACTTTCTTGTATGTAGTGTCATCATACTGATCAACATTTTTCAGCAACCACTAGACACACCGACTCTTCCACTCGCATGGAAACAAGAAAAGTTGTTCTTTTGAATACATCTGATAGCAGAACCTCACCTGCAAATCATCCTCCCATATTCATAAATAATTATTGCAGTAAATCGCTCAAACATCACTTTTTGTTGACGCCAGCGATGCTGGTGCTAGGTCACCGTCGCTACCCACGCTCCGCTACCACTGCTGCATTTCGAGGCTCAAACACGACTTAGAAGCACGCACTGCTGTGCTAACAAGAAAACGGTGGGGCCAACTTTGTGGCAGCCTCAGTGGTCAGATGAGCTGTAAGAACACATTGCATCTTCTGCGACACTTGCTTGACCCCAGCACCTCCAAGTCAGTGGCACGCAAGCTGCTTGCACGAGTTATCAATGAATATCCTGGCATCCCACAAGTAGCTTCTGGAGGAGCTCATCACTGGCTTCATTAACATATCCTAAAAACAAAGCAGAACAGAGCAATTGCCCAAGTACACTTGAACCGCATATAAACAGTTGGACCCGGACATTGCTGAAAGTGAGCTTTGCTTAGTGCCACATAAGCTGCGCACGACATCGGCACCGGGCCTTGACTGGGTGACAAATTAGACGGCGCGCAAACTTGATCAAAAGTCTGTACGAGTCATTATATGTTACATGAATGAGTGCTGGAGGTCCGGCAATTCACTACCAGGATGTCAACATGGAAGGGTCACCTTTATACCAAAATTGTACTGAAAACTCGACCCTGAGAATCTTGGCCCAAACTCGCTGATATCCTGCCTGGGCAAACTAATGGAGCACTTTGTGCTCTGCCACTCGAAAAATGCTGCCGAATAGCACACACTACTTCCCCCCCCCCCCAATGCTGGGCTTCAGGCGCCAACTATGCACTGAGGATGCACCCATTCAGTCGCACCACGATCTCTTAGTACTGGGAGTGGCAATAGTACCAACTCTTCACTCGCTCTGAACCTTCGCAGAGCATTTAGCAACGGAAAGCACAGGTCATTTTAGGCAGTCTATCTGGAGTACAGCTTGGAGGACGCATAATTAACTCCATTCGTGCTTTTTTAACTAATATAACGGCTGAAGTCTCCGTAGATGACCTCCGTTTCAGGCTCATCACTCTCGGTGACCACGGAGCACCGCAAAAAGCCGTTTCGTGCCCTTTTCCATTTAACTTCGCAAACAAGGCACTACCCTCCAAACTTTACACAATACCCGGCCTGCGACACACGCTCCAAATAAATGACAGCACGCTCTGGACGACTGTGAGATGCGATGATCAAATTGAAGAGACTCTTCGAAGGGCTACAGACGCAGTCGTTCAGCGTGTATCAGATGTGGGTTTAGAGTGCTCGAATAGCAAATCGGAGTTACTATTACTACGACCTCCAAACTGCCGTAGAATTAGGATTACACTTTGAAAAATAATGTGTATGTGATTGACATGCCAATCTCACAGGTAGCCACATGAGAGTCCTCGTACTCAGTGCGCAAACTAACAATCATTACAACACTTTGGCACACCACGCCGTAACGGTGAACCAGACGGCCTGTCTCATATCTCGAGCGAGCGCGCGCAATCGAGGCGCGTAGAAAAAGGAACTGCTACAGATAGTTCAGGCCTTTGTTTTGTCGCTCTTCTCATATGCTTTTCATTATTTGCACTTCCTTCAATTTGAGCAAGCCCAACTAAATTGGCTCACACGCGAAGCGTATCAGGTGGCCTTGGGGTTCCCCTGAAACACCTCAACAAAGTGACTTCACAGTCTCGTGTTGCATAACATCTTAGAATATCATCTTGAAGCTCATATTACAGCGCAAATACACCAATTACAGGGAAGCAGGACGGAGCGTTGGATCCTTGCTAAAATTCGGCACGTAGTATGTTCCATGAGTAACGATCCTTCCGTCATCTCCCATTATCAGAAAAAAATTTCTCATAGAACCACTGTGACAGAACATGTTAGCTAACCACTTCGACGACAGAAAGAAAGCAAGGATCCAACCTTGGCACAAAAACGCATGCGTCCAACCCAGTCGCTGCGTACGTTGACGCCACTCAGTGCCAAGACTCTACCAAAACATATGCAATAGGCATAATTACCATCTCCGTGAACAATGCAAATTCAACCAGAAATAAAACAGCTGCTTTCTTTTGTGTGCCCAACAGGACAGAAGGCGAGGAAAGGGCCATCACAGCAGCAGCTAAATTCACCCCTACATTCAGCGACTCAAAGATTCGTCTAGCCCGCTCACAACAAGGCATTGGGGCCTCCAAAACTCTGCGTTCACTCTTGCCCAGACTCCTAACAGATCTGGAGGAAGACACAATATGCTCCATTCAGCAGCTATGGGTGCCGGCCCACGCGGGGAATCCAGGGAACGAGGTAGCCCATCAATATCTCAGGATTTTTCAGCCTGGTGGTGGTATCCACCTATCATCTGGAAACACTGGGGAAACAATAATTTCTTACCGTGACATTATACAGTATTACCGTCTTTCGAGGCAGTCAAAACAAACCCCGCACCATAAGCTAAGTAAGCGTCAGGAGGTTATCTAGCACCGACGACAAACACATTTATTTCCCGTGCCCATAATTGATGCCCGTATATATTCCAATACGATCTGTCCGCATTGATCTTATTGTAGCTTATTAGCCACACTCAGGCTCTCAGCCTGAAGGAAAGTTCCCCTTCTCCTGGTCTTCTAGCAACTATCTCGCCAGACAGGTGGGAGGCAGTTTCGACCTTCACCAGTCTTGCAGTTCCGCTCCAGGTCACACGTAGGGCACAGATGGTGGCCACCATGATCAACCTGGTGGATCACCTACCTCCCTAACTGTGACGACAATAAAGTTCTGTGCTCTCGATCTCTACGCTACACCTACGAGGGTAGAATACCGGCAGTTGTCTGAGGGCTTCGGGCTCACGTTTTGGCATTTGAGCATGACGAGATCATTAACTCCCACTTTTCAGGGCAGCTGAGGCAAATTCTCGTGCGGCGTTGCCGGAAATGTATTTTCGGTGAAACTGTATTCTAGGATAAATGTTATTCTTGCATTACTTGCAAAAAATCTCGAAGAGATCAATAAAGCATGAATGCCGTGGTGACACATCATTTTAGTGGTGCCGTTTACCACAGCGACTCCCGAACGTATTGGAAGCATTACAGCAACACAAAACGGCGGAACATTGTAATGAATTACTATTGATTGCGTCGTGCAATCCAATCATTCACTGTTGCTCTAAAAAAGTAAAAGAAAAGCATCACCATAACTGCAGCGAAATGCGTGTACCAAACGAAAAAGCAATGAAATGAACGGTGGCACACATTTCGTTATACATGTACATCAGCACGCTTGCGCTATAGTTGCCTTGGTAAATATTTATTCAAATAGCACGTTTACATATTCTTCCAGCCGAACGTATAATAGTAACAAAACACCATTCCAGACAAGTTCATGATTCTTATTTGAGTGCTGCTGCGCAACGAAAAATCATTGGTAAAAACATAAAGAGAGACACCCAGCGCTATTATTGAATGCAGCAACAATATCCTTGCTTTTCTTCCTTGTTTTTGCCCCCCCTCTCCCCGCGTTCAAAGACGAAGGAATGGTCTCTTCCTCTTCGTCGCAACTCTTCGCAAACACGATGCATAATTCTGATCTCATGGTTCTCAAATCACGTCACCAGTCTCAATGCTAAGTGCTAGAGCCTACCAGAACTTCACTCTTCTAGGCTACAAGCTGTTTGCGCCATTTGTGCAGTGTGGGTTGATTGTGTTATGGATTGATTGTTCACAATTTTCATGCGAGACAAAGAAGAACGTCTGGGCAGATGTGTGGATTAGCAGTGCAGCAGTAAAATGTTATTTGCCATTTTGTTTATATAGATCATTCAAGAATATGTGCACTATCGACGTCACGGGAACTATTGTCTGCGTCACAGAAGCGAGCAAGAAAGTCAGGCAATACCAGGAGAGAATATTTCGTTGGAATTTGTATTTTGTGGCCCTGGTGAGTAGCCCTTTAAGCTCGTTTATTTACTGTTGAGAGTGATATAATGAGGGTGAATAACAGAGCATTGTGATCGTTACGGCTTTTCAACATTCATGCTTTTAATTTATTTCCATTTGATCGATACACTTTAGGAATTATAAATAGTGGAAGTGGCTACGTGGTTGAAACAGGCGGCATCACATCATTACAACTTACGTAATTGTTGTCAGATCTGGTCCTGTGTCTTGTTCATTAAGAATGGTGGTGTCAGACACGGAACACAATAACCAAAACACGAAGCGAGAATTTTGTAACCCACAGTTACACTACTCAATAATACTTTTATTACGCAGTATTTGTTTTCTGATGTAGAAAGAACTCAGGATGACCTCCATCTCAATCTTATTCATACACAGATTGCTATTTCATATTTGAGAACTTCCCGTACACAGTTTGAACAAAAGCTCGCTCACCTTCGTCTCCAACAATTTCCGTGATTCTTGCATGAACTTTCGGGTCAATACGGATCGACTGAATTGCAAGTGGCAGCACGAATTCTCTTTTTGTCTTCCAGATGAAACTCATGTGCACCAAGGAGTCCATGAAGGTCACCCAGTTGTCCTGCCATTTCAGCTTCGCGTAAGGTTCTGCAAAATAGGGCTTTATTGATGAAGTTATGTTTATTTATTGATTACGGCAAACTTATTCTTCACGCTTAAGCATTAGGATGCATTTTGTGCGCTCCTCACGAGTTCAATGAATGTATTTATGATGAGGAATGTGCAAATATTTCAATTTTGTGTAGCTTTAGATTATTATTTGTAGTTCGGTCAGATGCGCATCGAATTTCACTATTCCCACTTCCAGAAAGTAAATGTACTGACAATGGGAAATTTCTTGGACTGCTTGATAATTCCGAATTGTCTAAAAAAACAAAAAAAACAACTGAATCATGCATTCTGATTTCGCTCAAGCAGTAAAATGACTAGATTTACTTTATTGCCCCTCATTAGACTAAAGAGGCATCTAGGGGCACGCCTACAGTCTCGTGAATACATTCAGAACCTGTCGTGAACCCTTACAAACGTACATTGTCTCGTGACGAGGCCCGTTGATACCAGACAAGCACGGAATATATAAAGGTTCTCTCGCACGGACCGTTTGAAGATGACGACCCGGAACATTACCACTGAGTTTAAAGAGCGGACTACTCGTCGGACTTTCGCCTATAGGTGTGGGTGCTTAGGTGATTACACAATTTCCCTGTATGAGCAGACTGCCACCTGTAGGCATTCCGCTGTGTGCAGCAGGTCACGCACTAACTAATCTGACTGTTATCACCTGGAGGCTGTATACGTTGATTGATATTGATTGATATGTGTGGTTTAACGTCCCGAAACCACCACATGATTATGAGAGACGCCGTAGTGGAGGGCTCAGGAAATTTCGAGCACCTGTGGTTCTTTAACGTGCACCCAAATCTGAGCACACGGACCTATAACATTTCCGCCTCCTTCAGAAATGCAGCCGCCGCAGCCGGGATTTGAACCCGCGACCTGCGGGTCAGCAGCCGAGTACCTTAGAAAGCTTCCATGTTCCTGAAGCCTTCATGTAGGCGCCTTTGTCGGCGGGCACATGAAGGCTTCCTAAAGCTGCTTACGTTCATGACTGCAGTGTGTCCGTGGGGCGCAAGTAGCCCTTTTGCACAAGGAGAAAGCATGAACGGTGACACAGTGTGTTTGGTACACACGAAAGCCACCAGGAGCACTAGGCCACATGTGCTACTGACCTGTTAGCTGAACATGGTTATCACAAGGGATGTTGGCCATTCAACCGCCCTGAAGCATTCGCCGCCCACTCTATTACACCTGCGCGCACTTCAAGTGCTTCTTCAATAAACATAGGCGCAGTGGGCACGTCACATGCTCATATGCTTCTTCACATATCAGTTTGGTATTGCAAAAAGTTGCCTTTCAAGCCCAAAAAGAGCCAAAAACGTATGGGCTCAAGGCAATGCTGGTTCGAGCCTCCGCAGCAAAGGTGGCGCTATTAATCAGTGCCGTTTCAAACTAGAAAGCGCGAAAACATCAAAAGGTAATCTTGAACGTCCCAAATATTAGATTTCTTTTTACAATGGCCTCAAAGGGGAATTTAGAACTCTGTGGTCAAACATGGTGGGCCCCCGTCACTGAAGTGGGTCTCCAAAAAAGTTGAAACTGAAGCAGAGGCTCAGGAAACATGGTATTTTTTTGACAGCTGAACTGTTGAAGGTATTATGTTTGTGGGCCCAAATCATGTAAAAAATACAGTTAAACCTTTTGATTGCCTCATAGATTGCCTCATTGATTGCCTCATTTTTATATGACCGCCAGCGTACACCATTCGTCTTTCTGCAGCGCTTCACAAATTAAGCCAAATAAAACACTGTCTTGCTATTTCATAAGAATATGTTGAGGACGGTCCTCAGCTCTCTAGTCTGATTTAGTTTCAACGTACTTGTAAACTATTCTAAATATATTCGAAAATTACTGGAATGCATTCGAACTCAAAGTAATATTTCAATTATCGCACCCAAAGTTTTCCTATTTTATCAACGCTGATAATGATATTATAATGGCGTCGTTGTGAATCGAGTGCTTGTGTTGTCTTAGCTTGGGTATTGCGAAAAATTCAAAAAGGATGGCCAGTGCCTTAAAGGTCTGGAATAAATCAATTACGTAGCTATTTTCAACTCAACTAAACATGCCCGTGAATAATGCAGTACTTAAAACTCATGCTGTTGGATAACAATACGTTACTACCAAACAAAAAGGCGTGGAGAATCATGGCTTTAACCTTTCATGCTTTGACCGGTTCGTATTCGTGAGTCTTGTTGGCTCTTACTCTGTGAGACAGCCTTGAAGGCACCTTGAAATAGTCCATGGTACTGGTATCCACGAAGCCTCAGCTCCTTGTACACCTCCGCACAGTCCATATCGAAGACTATGCCTTCAGAAGGCTTTCCAGGAGGGTCCTTCAGTAGCACCTTCTCACCTTCTTCGGCTACACGAATACGGCCTTTGCAGACCACTGCTCCACCTTCGCACACTTCGAAATCACCAGTGATGGGCATCATAGTGATCTGGAAACGGACGCAACCTGGGTGCAGCAGAGGAAAGTAAAAAATTGGGCCAGATAATACTGTTACACGACATCGGCAACGAAAGAGCATCATAGACGACGAAGACGATAAAAGTGACCGTGCTCGTGTTGTTGTTGCTGCTGTTCTTCCATCTGCCTCTGACTCTCCCTGTATATTTTGTAAATATATTTATTTCATTCATTCTCTCACCCCCGTAACACTACTGTGTAAGCCGCCGAAGAAATATCGAGAAGGTTTCTCACGTGAAAACCTGTCTTCTATTCTAGGCTACAACCTAACAAAAAATGTTAGCTTTGTACACAGAACCTTTAGACGCCTATCTGTCCCCTGTGACAGACAGTTGTACTAACTGGTACTGCTTGAACCGTTTCATTTTTTGGCCAATATAAATTAAAATTTTAGGTTTGCTTTTACGTCCAAAAACGCTACGCCTTGCTGAACAGCCATGGCAAAACCTTTAGGAAGTTCATCACAATGCTTAGTTTCCCGAACTATTGTCAGCAACGCAAGCTTGTGTCTGTATAGCGATCCCACCTGGAACACTGGAAAACAGCTTGATATAATAAAAACCATCATCATCGTCAGTATTATGTTCGTGACTGTGCCGATGGCTGGGCAAGGTACACCCCCCCAAGCTGTCAACCTACCCGGTCCTGTGCATGGTGCTGCCACGTTATATTTACTTACTTCATAGTTTGATCTGGCTGAGTAACTTTTTGGCGTCGCCTCATCTGTTTACCTTATCTTGTATACAATCAGTTCCTGTTGTTATCTAGTGGTTATCTTTTCTGACACTTGCTAGCTTACTGACCCACTGTGATCTTTTCTAGTCACTTGAAGCTTTGAGTATCATTTTCCGTTTCATTTTTGTGGCGAAGCTCCTTAAGGCGTGGGCTGAGCGTCCCGTCGTAATCGTATGTAGCCACCTTTCGGTTGTTCTTGAACCGGCCATAGAGGGCAGTACTTGTGCATATAACAAAATTCATATACACTGAAAATCGAAAATGGTAGGATACTAGAGGACGTTACTTGTCGTGTAATAAATATAAGAAATAACAGCATATCTATAAAGGGAATGATGATGAGTGGGGCGAAGCGTCCATCAGTCCATCCGTGTGTCTGTTCGTTTGTCTATGCATCCATCCGTTTATCCGTGCGATCATCTGTACATCCGTGCGTCCATTTATCCATGCATCCATCCATGCGTGCGTCTGTCTATCAGTCCCCTCGTGCGTCCATATGTGACTCCATCCATCCGAGCGTCTGTTCTTGCGTTAGTTCATGCGTTATTCTGTTCGCCCATGCATCCCTTCGTTCATCCGTGCGTTCATCCATCCATCCATGCACCCGTCCATTCGTGCATCCGTCCATTCATCCGTCCTGTTTTGCGTCCATCTATCCTTTCGTGCATCTATTCCTGCGTTCGTCCATGCGTCCGTGCGTCAAACAGACAGACAAATGACGAACGGACGTGGCCAGCGGATGGTTTGCCGATAACACCCTCCGAAACTTCACCCTACTTATTATCCTTCACTCCGTCGATATGCTGTGATTTAAGTTAATTTAGGTTAATACGTTATTGGTAATAGGCACTCATCGCAAACGCTAGGGGTTACTTCAGGTGTGCCACAGAGAAGTATACTGGGGCCTTTCCTGTTTATTTATACATAATGACATTGTCAATATTCATGATAACTCAATTTATGTTATGTATGCGGTGAACACCAGTGTATTTTTCAGCGGTTGAAATCCCAACAAACTGATAAGGAAAGCTAAAGAAAGGCTTGCCACACTGGAAGGCTGGTCGAAACTAAGTGCACTTGAAATTAATGAAGCCAAAATGAAAGCGACCATTTTTCGTCGTAAGGGTAAAATTGTATCATTTTGTGAATCTTTGACTTATAGCTTTAAAAATATAGAAATTGTAGCAGCATTGAACATCTTTGGTGTTTGGTTTACGGAAAAGTTGCTGTGGGATGCGCACATCAACCAGGTGTGTTTGGCTGTCTCGCGTTTTGTTGGCCTCTTATACCGCAATAGCTGTGGTCTTCCAACTAATGCCAAATCGTTGCTTTTCAAATCATTGTTTACGTCTCAAGCAAATTATTGCCACCTTGTATGGGGCATGGCACGTGCACATTGTTAAAAAAGCTCTACGTTCTGCAAAACAAAGCTTTCCGCATAATTTATAACTTAGCCAAAGATCACCCTTCTGCACAGCTTTTCCAAGCTGCCGATATCCCTACGGTTTTTAACACGTATAACTTATGCCTTGTTCTTTGATTTAAATATAAAATAAACAGCGATATTTCAATGCTTGCAGATTTGGCCGTATTAGCAGAATATTCTTATTCTTATCCCTAACAACTCATGAGAAAGCATAAAAGAAGAACACCGCACACAAATTACGGGGCCCTGATGCTAAGAACAACTTTGCCCTCTGTGTTAAATCTAATCGCCAAATGACTTTGACATTTATTGTTGCATGTCGGCACTTCATGCTTTTTTGGCGAGCTGATGTCTAAAACGTCAGCTTTCAACTTATCTTGGACGTTTTTTACTGCGTGTAGTATAATGTATGCTTTCTGTGTGTTTATAGTTAAGTACACCACTTTCTGTATACCATCACTGCATGCTGAACTGTATTCGGCTGGCAAGCCTAAAAAAGCGCACAAAAGCTTTTTCTTTCCTTGCCCTCCACTACCTGAAGTGGAAATTAAACGAATAATTGAAAGAATTGATTGATCGAAAACCGTGCGTAAACCTCCGAGCTGCTGTCTCATAGGTATTTACTGACTAGATGCAACTTATATGTACCTTTTTCTCTAGCGATAGCGGTAAACTGCGTTTCATAATTTCAGATTGTCTGCCGAATATGTTGCGTTCTGTCTTTAATTATCCCCTTATTGAGGTCTCATAGTTCGTCTCTGTGGTCACTACGTGTCTCAAGTAGACGTACTTTTCAGTATATTATATATTAGCTGATTTAATTTAGAATAATAATGTAAGGAAACCTCGATTAGAAAGACTTAAGGTGTGGGTTTTCTTATCCTAGAATGCCTTGTTAGTACCGTCTTTTTGCATTTTGAAAAACATAATACTTTACCACTTCTAGAGCACCGCAATCTATGTAAAAGCACTCTTAACAGAATTACGCAAGTGCTGCTGGAAGAGCCATTTATGTCAGTTTTTTTTATGAGAAAAGGGAGCACTTTAAGTGCAGCAGGCATTCTCTGCATTTGTTACCAAGCATAAAGATGTTTATGCTTGGTATCCAGTAAAATGATGTGTAACTGAAGTAAAAAAAGTAAAAAAAAAGTTTACTCAAGCTATACTTTAGGACATTATTATGGGGTAAAGCAGGTGACTTTACAGATAGGGTATTGCGGAAATTACGGTACAGCAAGTTGACAAGTGAGAAAGTAAAAGTGGGAATACTGTCAGCAAATTAAACAATTTTTACTGGACTTGGAATGAAAACTTCAATGTTCGGCGTATTTCGACATGTACAGCAGAGAGTTGCCATAAGCCCTGGCCAGTCGGTAGACCATGTCTAGGCACTTAGGTAACAAAGGAAAACGAAAGCGCGAAGTGCTGTCTGTCTTATTTGTACCTATGTTCAATAGTGCGTTGGTTTGACTTAGTTTTTCCACAGCTCAGGCACTGTTTCCGAAATCAAGAAGGTCCAGTGCACGAAACACAAAGAAAGAACGCAAACCAACTAGACCAACACTCCTTTTTGCTGCCGTTACTTAAAAAATGTCTGATATAATCAATGAGTGCATGAACATCATTAGTAAAAGAGGCTTACCCGATGGAGGCAGAATTGTGAAACGCTGAATCTTGATGTCCTCAACAATTACAGGCGTATCGTGGATATGCCTTCCATACTGACTGGCAATGAACTGCCAAGCAAATACTACATAGCCAGTGCCAGGAAACAGGACACGTCCATCTAGCTGATGACCAGCGAGATAGTTGTCCTTGCTGTGGGCTTCTATGCCGACTTCCAAGATATCTTCCTTGGCCTGCAAGTGCCCGCGAAATCATTCAGCTTAGTTAAGAATGTTACACTATTTGGCTCGATGAAATAATATGCGCGCCGTAATTATATTTCTTGCACTAGCTCACGGGGGCCACGAAACCTACTTCTGTGTGACCACGTTGCACAAGACCTCGAGAAAATCGCGGTCTTCGCACTCATTTGTATTCTTCTCGTGAGACGCGCAGACTTCTAAAAAAATGGGGGTATGACTTTTTAGCGTAAAGGATCAGTTATTTTCCAATTTTTTCACGATTTCTGGATGCGAAATATCAAGTATTGGGGTCAACGCGTCCTCATCGGAAAAAGGGGATGAGACATTCATCAAGCATGCTTTATCAGTCAATTTGAAAAGTTCACCATGTGGTTAGCAATACACCCTGCGTGGTTATTTTGAATACGGTGCTACAATAGAGAGTATTACGGGTGCACTCTAAAAAATGCCAGGCCTGCGCGGTTGGCGCAGCACAGTTACAGCGAAAGCTAAAAAAATGGCCTTTCGGAGCCTTTTCAAAATACTCATTGGGCCACTACTGCAAGCACACTTGCTTGGTACACAGTAAAAATTTTTGCACCCAAAAGGGTGTAAAAAGGGTGCTTTTACGAGAAAGCACCCTTTGCAACACTCTTTAACACCCATAAATGGTCGATTGAAAAAAAAAGCACCCCTTTGTTTGGGTGCTTGCCTCAATAGACCCTTAAATAGGCTCTAAGGGTGCTTTTGTGCCTGAGAAGGGTGTAGGTGCCGATTCATCAGATGGAATATGCAGCATAAGAAGAACACATAATTATAATATTTGGGATCTTACGTCTCAAAAACCTGATATGATTATGAGGGTCGTCGTAGTGGAAAGCTGCAGAGATTTTCACCATTTGGTGTTCTTTAATGAGCGCTCATATCGCACAGTGCAAAGGCTTCTCCTTTTCGCCTCCGCCTTAATTCGACGGCCACGGCCGGCATCGAAACCGCGACCTTCGGATTGGCAGCCGAGCAGCGCAGCTACTGCACGAATATGTGGACCTTGCGTTAAATGACGGCCTAATTGACTTAGAATGTGTGAAGGTGCTCTCCGAATACAGCAGAATGTCAGCAGAAGCAAATCGCGTTTCATATATAATGGCAATTAACTGCAATCCATGTTACGAAAGCTTTCCTTAGCGTTGGCTATAAGCTGCATGTTTGCTATGGATTATATACACACAAATAATGTTCGCCCGAGTATGGGTGTGTGTGCGTGTAAGCGCGATTGTGTGTACACCCGTGCATGTGTGCGTGCGCGTGTATGTGCGAGTCCGTGCTTGTGTTAAGCGTGCCTGTGCACATGTTTACGCCCATGCATGCGTGCGTTTACGGTCGCGTGTGTGTGTGACCGTATGTGTGTGTACGTGTATGTGTGTGCGCCTGTGAATAAGTATGCGTGTGTATCAGCCCGTGCGCCCTCGAATTTCGTGTGTGTGTGTGTGCGGGGGGGGGGAGGCACTGCTTCTTATTGTTTAAGGTCCCACACCTGTTCATACTAGGAGTCTATATGGGAGGTGGCTTAAGGAATGGCGGTTGTCAACGCACTGTACATGGACTATTCAGTACATGGAAAACAGCTGCACATTTTCGTACTTGATCGTTGCTTACGAACTTGCTGTGATAGCTGATTAGGTATGCTGAGGTGCTTCTACGCTCAAAAACGTGGGTTATGACCAATTCCCACGGAAAGCTGTCACTGCACTTATGCACAACCATCGTTTATATTAACAACGTTTAACAAGAACGTGCCCTGCCTTTGCTACAGGTGCTTAGCTAGCTCATTGGGTAACCATATGGAATTATGTGCTGATCATGTGGTCAGCAAAAAGCTTGTTATAACAACCTCGGCACGTTTCGTGGTGCGTGACAAGCCTTCTAAACATCCGCGACTGTGGATTAATTTGTTCCAGCTTCGACTACGCATTCAGTGTTTGCGGCACTATACGCGCAATTGCCCGACACAGACAATGCGGAAAGAAATTCCTCTGGAAAAAGGTGTAGCGATGCTCTCCCGCAAATGCCACCGAGGACGAAATAATTATTGTTTCTGGCCATTTTATGGTGCACTTTGTTTTCCGCAAGTTTTGCTTCACTATTTTTCGCCCACTGCAATTGCATTCCGTCAAAATACTCTAACAACCCGAGGCTGGTAAATAACCTGCGTCGCTGTGCGACTGGCTGGAAGGAGAGTTGCCATTTACAAGGAGTCATTCCGCGAGGAACGGCCGTCCGCCGTATGCGCCATAGCGTTTGCTCTTCGGCGCCGTCCTGGCGGGTTTTCCGCTTCTCCCCCCCCCTGCTCACCCCGGCTAGCGTTGCTCCCACAACGGCGGCGTAGATAAGCGAATAGTTGCGTCACCAAACACCTGCGTCGACAGCTGTGGCGCCGCCGCCAGTGCCTCCTCTTTCTCTCTCTCAACGTCGCTCTCTCTGTCTCATCGTCTTTCAAATGCGTTGCGTTGGTCTGGGGTCTTGGTCGCTGTGTGTGTTCTAGCGAACAGGCGCATATTCAATGGTGGTCACGCATGACACCGTGTTCGAAGTGACGCTCGGATTAAGGAATATTCATGGAGTGGCGGACACGGACAACGTGGGCCTGTTAACGGTGAGTGTACTGTTTTCGTAAATAGTAATCATACAGCGCTAGTGGGCGCCTGCAGCAGCTCTGCCGAAGTAGGCTGCCAGCCATTTACAACAGCATGCGTTCGCGGGCCTGTTGCAGATGCCCGATTAAACGTGTGACTTAACGAGTTCACACTGCTGTGCGCGATGTTGTGTAAGTGCATGCATCACTCATACAGTGAGTGATGTGATCACTTAACAAGGGTGGGATTAGTTGCTGATCGCACATTGTCTCTACACTGCACAAAGTGATTTATATTGTTTTAAGATGTGCTTTGGACTACATCGTAATAACATTTATATTAATACTCAAATGTGCAACGTGCTTCTGTAGGTGTAAGCGCAAAAAAAGAAAGAAAAAGCAAAAATTATGTACAGAGGCGCACTGTACGAAATGGCTTTTTTTTGCTTAAAGACGGTATAGTTGGAGGTGCTGATATGCCGCGATGCTCCCAGCACGTGCGCCCCGGTCTTTTAAGCTATTTAGGACAAGTGCCACCAGCAACAGGGAAAGGTCTAGCAGATTTCCAAAGGCGCGTTGTTGTGGCCATCGCCGTGCGTTGTTTTCCCTCGTTTCTGTTTGCTGTTTTCGTGCTTTGCCTTCATCTGCGATAACGTTCGGCGTTATAACAGAATCGAGAGAGTATACGTGACTGTGGGAGCTATGCGCGGTAGCTCTAGCATAAGCCATGGCTGCTGCAACGTAGACGGCGTCCGCGCGCGTTGGTGTCGTTCGAGCGCTCCTACTTGCTTGATTGTGTTTAACTGAGTATTTAGGCACGGGTTACGTTTGTAAATCCCGTGGTCAATAATCGCTAATAGCGTGCCCCTGATTGCCATCAGTGGATTGGCTTGGTTGTCGAAATATGCCAGACGCTTTTTCTGAAAGCAAGCTTTGATTTCTTTTTTAATAGAAGTACTTTCATATGTGCAAGGCAGTGCCTATTGCAGGCCCGCAACTCTTTAAAAACTGGACGAGCTATCACACCTTTTATCAAATTACAATGAATTGAGATGATTGAATTATAGATGACGAATTTCTGTGCTAGATTAGGTGCACAAAACACATGTTCGCAGCCCTACGTCTAGAAAGCAGGCAAATAGGAAGCACAGCGTCAAATTTGGATTAGATTCCATTGACGGAGCGTCTTGTGAGAGTAGAAAGAACGAGAAAATTGTTCGTTTTTGATGCCCTTATAGAGGCAGTCAGAATTGCACTGATTGGTGACTTGTAACAATTCCTCAGATTGTGAGAGGCGTGATTAAAGTCAGTAAGTCTTTTACTTTTTTTTTTGCAGACCTCTTCGCTAGTGCCACGCCCAAGATCATTTGTTCTCATGTAAAAGAGAAAGCAGAGATGTCTTCACTGTTTGTACATGAAGAGGTAAGTTTCTTGTGCATTTTGATTAATGTTACATGTTCTTAACGTTGTACTTTAGGAATTGTTTTTCACACTGGCTCACTACCCTAGAAGGAATTTGATTCTTAGGTGAGTTCAGGCTTTCGTAAGTGCCATTTTTGAGCTGTAGTCTTACAACTTCACCTCATTTCGGGAATTTGCTGTATGCTGGAAAACTCTTATCTTTATCATACGTAATTATTGGAATGTATGGGTTGCATGCTTTTAGTTCAGTGTAATGCCAATTGCACGCCATTTCGAAGGATACACACGACACATTCTATATAGGGTGCTGCCAGAACAGCACGAACATCCTTTTATGAGAAGTCATATTTGCTCTTATTACAGGATGAGAGGGTGCCGCTGACGTCCTGGGTAGTCTACCCCCTGGCCCCAGCCTAGAGCAAGCCTACTTCCTGAACCTCCACATGGATAACCGAAAAATCTTCCGTGTCAGTAATGGCGAAGAAGGAGTGACAGCACTGATGAGTTGATTTTTTTTATTTTCAACATTGTCTACGGCCGCAAGGCCTTTAACATCCACTGTGATTGAGCGGCTTTTTCTCGGCGTGAGTTTGGAGTTTATCAAAGAAGTTGTTCAGGCAGTACGACACTGAAAATTTTAGTGTCACAATGCCTGAACAACTTTTTTTAGTGTGGTCATGGTAGATGAACAAACATTGTTATTTGTGTAAGTTATTTTGCTTAAATATAGCTGGACCATTCCATGCCAAACGTCCCAGCCACTTTGGCGACCATCTGAATTGTATTTGAAAAAAAAAGTGCTGACTTACTGCGTTGAAAACAGTGAACTGCTAGAATATTTCAGTGAGAAAAAAAAGTTTTGTTCATGTGGCTGGCTTATAACTTCCTGGCATAATGCCGTCTGTGTGCTGTTTGTGGAAAATTTCGTTTTAAATCTACCGCTTATTTTTTCTAAAGC